AACATAATTACCTGCAAATGCTATCATATTTGTGTGCTTACAGTGATACAGAAGCAACATTACAAGTACTATATTTACAGATAACATGTATAATAAAAAAAGCACCAAAAATCTAATAATGAAAAAAGGATAAATATTGTAGACCAGCATAAGTATCAACCAATTATTCCACCGCTCTGTTTCATTAGAGTTGCAATTTTCTTTTATATCATAAATATTATAAATAAGATAAAGATTTCTGTACGTTTCAAATAAATTTATATATTTTATGTAATACTGCACACACATATTAAAAGGTGATATCGCAGTTATAATAAGATACAGTCCTGGCAATGTAGTGATTTTTGGATCCTACTTAAAATAATTTAATTTGATTTATTTTTAAGAAATGCGCACAATACTTGAGAGCAAATTATTTTTGTGCCACGTATTACCTGTGTAAAATTCCACACACAGTATCATATTGTCTGCGGTATATGAAAAGCTTCATCGATGAAATAATGTGATAATACAATTGAGATATAAGCAAAATAATATAGTACTTGTAATGAATAACGTTAATGTGGAATACATAAATATTTTATATTTTAATTTTATGTAATCGAGATGAGATAAGACACTCATGATTACTTTAAAAATGTGTCCACAAATATCATGTAACTTCAATAGCTGCACATTCGTCAAATTAATCCTATTACGTTAAATGAATCACAGCAGTGTTTGTTTTAATTTAATCTAACCTAACCAATTATATTATATGCTCCTCATTAAAATGTGTAAAACTGTACGTCGCACATTTAATACGATTAATATACTACGTAATAAAATGTAATACACTAATGAAATAATTAAATATTATTTTTAAAAGCATGATACAATCCAGGCAGCATACGCTTGTGTTTACATTCGACATCCAAAGACAGAGGTTATGTTAGGTTAGGTTCGATCAAACAAATTTATCGTTTAACAGTTGGCAGCCCTACAAGATAGGCTGTGCAGCACTGCGCGTATATAAAATAAATTTGAAATCGCTTCTAGCATAACCATCTTCACGCGATCGACTTTATTTGAATTGCACGGCATCGCATCGAATTATGATGCGGCGCCGATTTGTTTGAACGTAATTCGGGACATCGCGATGCTGTATAAGCGTCGAATGAGCACGAATTGTCACGCAAATATGATAATAAATCACATCTACTCACCGTTCACCGGCTGTTCCACAGGCCGCTCCACTCGCTCGCCTCGGGGGACGTCCCATTCCGATCTTGATGCACACGATATCATCAACGCGAACGCGCGACACTTTATTCGGCACTCCCGATATTCGCTCGCATCCGATAATCATCATCAAGGGCGCAAATAACGCGACGCGACTTCGCTCCATCTTCGCGATCGCGCTATCACTGAATTGTCGAAAACGGCTGTCGCGCACTTTCACTGACATATTATGAAAGTCGCGCGATCATCCTTGGACACTTTCGACGCTCTTTCACTCGCGATATTCGTTTAAAAACGGTTAAAAGACGCGAAAAATGCGGACGTACGACGATCCGTGTAACTGCGTATGACTCCGATTCACGTATGACGCGTATGACGTACTATGACGCGTATGACGTCGCAGTCACGCGCCAACATGGCGGCCGAACCACTGCGCATTCGTTTCTGCGCATGGCCATTCCTGCGCGCAACGTTTGCACAACTTTGATTTCTGAAATATTGTTTACGGCTTTAATTAATAGCACATAATGATAAATATATAAAGATGGAATCAATTAATCATATTGGTCATATATGTAGACTTGCCTCAAGAAAAAATTGAGATATTTTTAATTTTTTTTTTTTTTAGTAAAGATGGAAATGTCTATTCATAGACTTGTCCTTCTTTTCCTCTTTTGTGCAATTTTGATTCAATATATAACGTGGAAAATTCATAGTATATTGCATTTATTTTTATATATTCACAACTATAATATTCGCGCGATCATTTTTTGACATTTACAATACTCGTGTACCTTGTTCTCGATGTTCACTTTTAAAAGAACAAAGAGAATTATATATAAATGTAAATAAATTGTCCGAAGAGAGAAAGAATTGAGGGATATTTTTAGTTTTTTAGTAAAGGTTGGAAATGTCTATTCATGATAGAAATGCAAAGAAAGAAAATTATTGTTATTTATATATGTTTATATATGTTATTTATATATGTTTAAAATAATAATTTCATATGAAATACAAAATTAAAAATTACATTATAGAACCTGACCTTGTAAAAGCGTAATAAAACAATCAAATAGTAGACAGAGAAAAGACTAATTGTAAAAGAAAAAAAGTTGTTAACTTAACTAAACCATTTAACTAAATTATTATCTTTTTAACTGGAATATTTAACTATTATAAATCTAACATGACATTTATTTAACTTAAATATTTCAATATTTTAATTAAAAAAATAATAATTTAGTTAAACGGTTTAGTTGAGTTAACAACTTTTTTTTCTCAATGTACGTGTGTGTGTGAGACTTTAAAAATATACTTGGATATAAATACACTTATATTATTAAACGATTAATCCATCTCGTGAGGTTTAATAAATAATTAAACTGTGTGTACACTGAGAAAAAAAGTTGTTAACTTAACTAAACCATTTAACTAAATTATTATCTTTTTAACTGGAATATTTAACTATTATAAATCTAACATGACATTTATTTAACTTAAATATTTCGATATTTCAATTAAAAAAAAAAAAAATTTAGTTAAACGGTTTAGTCGAGTTAACAACTTTTTTTCTCAGGTACGTGTGTGTGTGTGTGTGTGTGTGTGTGTGTGTGTGTGTGTGTGTGTGTGTGTGTGTGTGTGACTTTAAAGATATACTTGTATATAAATACACTTGTATATAACTTTAAAAATATATATTTTCGTTATGTTAATTATCCGATTTTTATTCGATCGTTTTATTGCGCGTTCTGAATCAAATTATATTTAGATCAAATGATATCAGAGAGAATATTTATTTATTATATTAGAATTCTATGTGTGTGTGTGTGTGTGTGTGTGTGTGTGTGTGTGTGTGTGTGTGTGTGTGTGTACACATATATATTAGGATAGAAACGAAATAGAAATAGAAGAATAATCATTGCTCGTAAGATTGCAACAAAGTAATAATTTATAATTTTGATTCCTATCGTATAATCGAGTATCGTATTTTGAGAGCAATCAACTATTTATTAATAATAAAATTGTATATAACTTACGAATATATTCCACTTATTCCGGACGTTAATATCGCGACAACGACGAATAAACTTTTCAAAAAAGTTCAATTCAACTATTTCATATATGAGACAGTTCTACCAATCACTGATACAAAAAACTCGTCAATTGACCAGTTGGTGAAACTGTTTCAGTCCTGAGTATTTTCTTAAAAGAGCTGTTGGCGCACATACATGCATGTATTATTTTTACGCGCGTCACGTGTTTGAACGAACCTTGACATTCTCGCGGGTAAAGTCACTAGATTAACAAAGTACCGCAATTTTGATCTCAATAAGATGGAGCAAAAATGGCGTCCGATAGTGCAGATAGTGCACAATTTGTGTAGCTATCTATACTAAGTGCAATTTTTCTAACCTTGATCCTGGTTTGTCCTGTGTCCTGTTATGTGTGAGGTGAGAAAACTCCTTCTGTTGCGCAGAAAAAGAAAAAAATATCAAAAATGCCAGGTTGTTGCGTGGAGAAATGCAACAATCGCAGCCTATATCTATACTATCGGACGCCATTTTTGCTCCAGCTTATCTTATTGAGATCAAAATTGCGGTACTTTGTTAATCTAGTGACTTTAGTGATCCCTGAAAACGATACTCCCTCTATGGACATTGAAAACGTCGACATGAACTATAAAGCCAATGTTCATGAATGTTCTCAGAGGGTAATATGTGTGTACAATTTCTGGTTTTGTTCCGTGCTATGTGCACGAAATGCCGGTAGCATCAGTGGACTCAACAGTTGGGCAACATTCCTAGATTTTCCGATGTAACTCGACGCTAATTGGTCAGACCTTAAAGTAGAAACCAATCATATTCGATTGCTATTTAGCGGTTGAGTCCGCTGAATGCGGCTATTGTATTCGCCTAATAATCTCCTAATATTTCAGAATGCTACACTGTTCTACTATAACAAATCTTCATGCTTTCTACACTTTTCTCGTTAATTTTTATTTTGATTTATACTTTTTGCACCATAATGCCAAAGAAATATCAAAACTATCTAAAAATGAAAACTAGAGAATAAATTTTCAGAATTATATTTATTACCTGATCAATTTATTTTTATGATATTCATATATGTGTAATATTAAAATTATTCATATATACATTTTTAATGAATAAGTACAGCACTATTTTTTAATTAATTCACATCATACTTAAATTGCTGTCATCAATGATATGTTATCTATGAAATGTAAAATGTAGCATTTTGGATAAATTGAAATTATTTACATATAATTTATTCATAATAATATGACTTATATATGCACTGAATATCTGATCTGCATAATTCAATAAATTATATCAGGACTAACATTTGTTAAATTTTTATTATTTTGATAATGCAATATGCAATAAATATTTGATCTGTATATCAATAAATAATAAATTATATCAGGATTAACATTTTTTATATTTATATTATTTCCATAGTGGAATGTGCAATAAACATTATTAAAAGTGGCAGTGCGTAATATACATTAAATGATTTTAGTTTTTCCTTATCTTTATATTTTCAAATACTTAAATTATCTAAATAGAATTAGCTCATTGCTTTTAAAATCACATTTTGATTTTTAATTGCTTTAAATTTAAGTATTTTTAAAAAACCCACATCAATTTGTAAAATTGATTTTTGTATAGTATAAAATGCAAAAAATTTATTATATTTATTGCATAATATTATGATAAATGAAATGTTTTTGTTATCATTTTGTTATTATCAAAATTCTTACATTAAAATTTACAGTAAAATTTGAAGTTGAATGTTATTAACTCTTTTCTCTCTCTTTCTTTCTCTCAAATATTATTTTATGTGTCACTCTTTGCTTCCTCCGCATTTATCAGAATTTTTCATGGAACTTCCTTGAGCAAATGTTTTAAGTACCTCATCTTCAAAGTTGGGATCAAGCAAAATGTCTATTCCTTTTGTTCCAGACATGGAGTATTTATGAAATACAGTCTTAGCCACTTCCCATAGTGAACGGTTGTGTTCTAATATATGGACCAATGGTTGTGCCGATGGGAATAATAATGACAAATTACTACAAAATGAAATATGATGAAAACAAACTATATAAAATTGAAAGAAACATATTGTTAAATACACTCACGTAAAAAGAGGAATGACTAGATTAGTAATGAATTGTATTTGGAGATCAGGAATGGACGCACGTTCTCTATCCATCATTTCTACAGGCGCATTGCCCATACTCTTTTCTAGATCTCCTTGTGAAAAGAATTCATCAAATATCTGTTCCTGATAGAAAATTATAATTTATTTATGGGCTACAAATATTAAAAAATTCGAATATTAATGAACAAACAATATTTACTGCTGTTTTCTTTGAAACTTTCCAATCTTTGGTTTGATCGCTAAGATCACAACAAGTCATAAGCATTTCAAATAACAACTTTTGTTGTTTTGCGTCATCTTTGTTATATTTATTGCATATCATTTTCTCTTGCTTATTTATGCTCCGAAAATGAGAAGCTAAATCAGTTGCAAGTATATTGCTCCTTAACAAATCCAAAGCTTTGCTATAATCATCACTATCCAAACTTTCAAATATATTGCAGCCTTCAGTGTTTAAAATACACATTGTTTGAGCTAGATGATGTCTCTATTTAAAAAAAAAGAAAAATAAGTTTATTTTTAATTTAAATTAAATATATAAAAAAATTTAGCTCAATATTATATAAAAAAAATATCATGTTTTACCTCCATAACAGATCCTTCTGAGCTATAAAGACTCGCTAATACAGTACCACACAAAGTTTGAAATGAGTTATTAGTTCCTCTATGATCTATATCATGACACAAGCATGATACAAGAAACACCAAAGCTTGTAAAGGTGTCATATAATTTTCCTCAATAAGTTGCATATTTTTTATTAATAAATATGCAAAATGTGCCACAGAAAATGCGTGTGTCCAATTATGATAAGGCGCATCTCTGTAGCCTTTCTTAACATATAATATAAATCTACGAAAAATATTATTAATTTATTGTATATTTTTTTTAAATTATACATTTATATAGTATATCATATTAATACCTTGCAAGTGTCGACATTTTAATTCTCCAATACTTAAGGAAAGATAAATCTGTGAACATTTTAATGGTGTAGCAAGGCATATGTTTGTAAGGTACACTCCTTGGACTAAAGTGGAATTTATTAAAATCTTTAATATTGTGATCATCTCTGCAATTCAACAATGCTTGCACAGCAGATTCTTCTACCTAGAAATAAATTTTCTACTATGAGCGCACAATAATTATCCTATATATATATTATATAATTAAAAAATGTATAAACACAAATACACACCTTCATGTGATACATCATTATTTCGTTGCTAAGCTTATTTCGAGCTTGAGCATCTTGCATCTTTTTATAAACAATACTATGCATTATAGATATACCACAATAAATGCTAAACGCCGTCGCGATCTGTTCATCAAAGGCATCAAAATATAAGCCGTTTATTTTATTACAAAGTTGAGCCACTCCTAAAATATGAGAATATTATATATTTATAATTTTCATATTCTTATTATCATAATCTATTTTAATTTACAATACTTCTATACAACCAATTTAATATATATCTAATTTACCAACAATCCCTTTCTCATCCCGTATTGGAAAGCACAAGATGTTTCTAGTCTTAAAACCTGTTGCCTCATCAATACCACGATAAAAAAGGGGATGATTGTAGGCGTCTCGGATATTAAGTAATTTACCAGTAGTTGCAACATGACCAGCTATACCTTGCCCAATAGGAATTCTCATTTCATTTACAGTCTGGAAAACAAATTATTTATATAGAATATTAGCACAGAATATTAATATAGAATATTATTCTCAATCATTGTGTATGAAATATGCTTACTTCGTTTGTGGAAATGCCATCAAATACTTTTGCAACTAAATCCTGTTGATCAGGGTCCAAAAGAAATAAGGAACATCTTTCTGCATTTGTTAATTTTCTGACTTCTGCCATAATCTCACGCAAGAGATCAGAGAAATCTCCTGTAAATTTGAAATAAAAGATAAATGAAAAATACATAGATTGTATATTTAAAAAATTAATTATCATACCTAAATGTGTGAAGAGTTTCCTAGAAACAGCTAATAAATTTTGACATTGTTGTTTTATGCGAGTTTCTTCATAGCAACGTAATGAACTAAGCAAATATCCGAGACAAAACCTGCAAAATTTTATTTTAAATATATTAGACATATATCTCTATTAAAAATTTTAATATGCTACTTATTTCTTTCAATACCTAAAGCATTCTTGAACTATTTCTGTACAAGCATGTCTAGCTTCATCTCCATCCGTATAATCTACCAGGCACACAAGCAAAACTGTATAATGTTTAAAAGGATGTTGTATCGGGATTGTTAAGAGGGACTGTGATGTTGCATCTGTTATTCTATTAATATATCTCAATAATTCTTCATCAAGTTTTGCCACACTCAAAACTGATGATGATTTATTTATCACAGCTTCATACAAAACATTATTTGGCATCTGCAAAACAAATTTTTCTCTTTCATATTTACAAAAAATATATATTGGATAAAAAATACATATTATTAAAAATATTACTTTTAATAATATGCATAAAATAATATCTCTTTCATATTCACAAAAAATATATATTGGATAAAAGATATATATTATTAAAAATATTATTTTTAATAATAATATACTTTACTTAATATACTTGAATAATATACTTAATATACTTTTATTAATAACATATAAAACAAGTTATTCTGATATAGATATTAAATATAAAATAATTTAAAAGGATGATATTTGTCTTAAGCAAAAATACACACATTATTAAAATTTAAAAAAAGAACAGTTTGAAAAAATAATCTTATCAAAAGTGCCTGCAAGCAATTTAAAATACTCAATAAATTTAATAGCTGGCTATGATGCAATGAAACGTGACAATGATATATAACAAATAACAAATATGTTTCTAAATGTTACACGTACAAATTATGAATGGAAAAAGAATATTTTCTTGCTTCCTACATTACAAAATACTTCTATGTATGATTAATTAGTTTAAATTATTTAAATACTTTTTTAATTAACTTTTTTAATATCCTTTATTCTTGTAAAATTTTTGTAGAAAAAACTTACAAGAAATCTCAATTCTCTGTCCAAAATTTCTTCGCCAATCACATGGATAATCATTTCCTCAGACTCCATCAATATTGATATGAGAAAGACCAATTTTGCATTTGTTGCATTCTGCACCTAAAAGAAAACAATGTTACATTAATAAGGAATATATGAATCACACATTAAAAAAATTATTTGCAATCATAAGTTGAATCGCAAATATATTAAAAAAAGAAATAGGCGATTATTCTATCGCATTTGACCGGTCATCTCTAGCAGACGACTACGATCATTCAAGATACGTTACTATTGGTCAATCAGCGCGAAAACTCATGCCGTGCCGATCATTCAAAGATCACTCCAACATGAGGATCCAATTGTATATATATGATGCGATTATAATTATATTACGTACATATCTGTTCAGACGTCGTTGCACCTCCGTATATGGTAGATCGCACAGTTCCTCGATTAGGGAGAGGATCCTTGCCGGATCGGTAATCAAATTGGAGCTCATTTCGAGGAATCGGATCTAATCGAGTCCACATGATTGATCATTTTAAAAAGAGACACGATTCGGCGGGGATGATCGCGGAGGAGTCCTTCAATGTTGATAGTCCCGCCATGATTTTTTACGTGAATTACCATTAATTGATATCTGATTTATGAAGTTAATTACGTATAAATTTGCAGCGTAGATTTGACATATATACAATCGTCAACGTCGACATCAAGCACGACCGCACTGCGTTTTTTGATCGTGTGTCTATTGATAAACAGAAATCGCACACGACTACATCGAGAGAGAGAGAGAGAGAGAGAGAGATTCTTTTCTGTTTGCAAAATAAATAAATCTGGGTATGTTCGAAAGAGATAATTCTCCGCGCTCTTTGATCTAGGGATAAATCTCTAGAAAGATTCTTGGGTTCGAAAACTCATCGTTTGATTGACAAAAGAACCGCCATTGATGTGTCTCGGAACGCGATATAAAATGAAATTGGAGCCGCTGGATTGGCAACATTTTTGAAATGTTTCGAACAGTTCGTGTTAACTTGTTGACAATAATTAAAGTGCATCATATATATTTTTTAAGATATTTCTTTGACAGAAAATGCGTTTGTATTAAAAGTTAACTCGAGTGAATTAATTATTTCGGTATGGAAAAGATATTGAATGATCGAAATGAAACATTTGTTGAATGATTATTATTGATTTATGGAACCAACATGTTATTTATTGCAACACACACGCATATTCATATTTATAATGTCAATTAACAATATGATCTGTATATCCGTTCAGTGATAATTAATGATAAGATATATATACTATATTTCTGTAATTATAATAATGAAGGCATGAGGTTATGTTGAGCTTAATCTGGAGCTCTCTTGTAATAATTAATGTGTAATTTATGAGAACCATTTAGTCAATTGTATATTTTGCAAGAATGAATGGGGAGGCAGAATATAATGTTGCCACTAGATATCGAACAGTTAGAAAACATCTGGATAAGTTGGGGTATCAGCAAGCACTGTCATTAGATGCTTTACCTCTGATAGAAATGTTACTAGCTGATCTTGTACAAACTACAGATAATCTTAAACATTTTAAAGCCAATGCTGAAGAGAACATTAAGGTATGTTGAAACAAAATAGTATCACTCTGATGCAACTTTACAAGAATGCTCAAATTTTCTTCTGAATTTGTGAAAGAAGCAACAGTTGAATACACATATAGAATTTTATTGTCTAACTTCAAAGATTAATCTTTCAAGCAACTTCAAATAAAGAACCAGTTTTAGTGATAAAACCAACAAAATTTACATACAATCTAATGTAATGATATTGTGTGGTACAGGCATATAGTCAGTTGCGATTGACAGTTGATCCCTACAAATGTGATAATGCAAGATTAGTGCGAGAATGTAACCAGCTTCATTCGGACCTGATAGAGACTAAAGAAGCACATCAGAAACAGATCAAAGATCTTAAAAAGCAGATACATAAGTTAGAATGTGAGTGCAATGATTTACAATTGGCGTCCTCGCATAACATATATAAAATAAAGGAGTTGGAGACAGAATCAGCTGCCAAGTCTAAGAAGATATTAGAACTTCAAGGCAAATGTTTAAAGCCAACTATTATTAATGTGGTTTGTAAGTTTTTGTTATTCTATTAATTTTTATTATTTTATTACAACAAATATCAGTAAAATATATGATACATGCTAATTAATATTTAAATGATATATTTTTAATTTTTAATTTTTATAGCTACTAAGAAACGTCCCTGTTTTCCTCCTAGAAGACCTGTCTTAGAAGCCGAGCCAATGCCAAGGGCAAAGATTGGTGGCTCACTGCCAAAATTAAGCAGCATTGAGCCTAAAATAATAGATATAGTAAGCATGGCAGACCAAAAGATGAACTGTTTGAATCAGGAGGTAACAAAATTACGAGGGGAGCTTTTATTACAAACAGATACAATAAAGACTCTTGAAAAACAGGTACAGCTAAGCACCAGTATTTATGCATGCAATTCTTGAACATTTTTTCCAGGAAAAAAATGGAAATCTTGTGTATGCTAATAGTCATTTATATCCTGCATGCTAGGAATCATTGATGCATGGTGATAATATCTTTAATGATGCAAGTTTGTTTATTAATACATTGTTGTAGAATAAAATATTATTTTATAGCTAGCTGGGAAAGAAAAAGAAATAATTCGACTAAGAAAAATGTTGGAAGGAGGGCGTTCGTATGCTGCAGTTAGCAAAGATTGCACTTGCAAGAAGATGGAAAAGAAAATTTGTGCTGCTCATGATATTACAGAAATTAATGAAGTAAAGATCCTTCAACATGCCAAACTAGAGTTAGAACAACAGCTAAAGGGTAAGAAACTTACTAAAGTAGATACATTTTAACAATGCAGAATTTTTTAATTTGACTAATATGAAAAAAAATCAATACATATTTTGTATACTATTTTCTTTTGATGCAGAATCTCTAAATAAACAACATGATGCAATGTCTCAAGCAATGAAATTAGCCAAACGAAATGAGGAATTAGAAAAAGAATTAAGAGATATAGATCATGTTGCGTTAGCTGTAAAGGCTGATTGCAATTCTACAGTTAAAGAAAATAATAGGAGAGTTTGTAGACTTCAGGTAACTATAGATTTGTGTATGTTTCCAAAATCATCCTTTCTTGTTTACACATTTATATATTTATTTAGGAGAAGTTGGAAGACGTCATGACACAGCTACATGTCTTAGAACGCGAATTAATTGTAGAACGTAGAGAAGTTCAAGAGTTGAGAGCAGATCTAGAATCTTGTAGGCTTGAGAAACGTAACGTCCAACGTACTCTCGAATCTACATTAGATGAAAAGAAACAAATGTCTGATAGGATTAATCAACTAGCAATCATTGGTATGATATTGTAAAACTTTAATTTTGATATTTTGTCTTTTTAACAATCTTATTATTGGCAACTGTGAAAATTTAAAATGTTATTGCAGAAAAAAATTTAAAGGATGAGATGGAAAGACTGAGTAAAGAAAACGAATACCAAAGACAAGGTAATCAATTGCAACTATACTAATAAAATATTAGAAGAATATATATATATATATATATATATATATATATATATATATATACATGTATCAAGAATATTGTGTAAAGTAATGAAGGGAATAATTAAAAAACGTAAAAAAACTGCAAAACGAATAATCAGAATAAAAGCATGAAAAAAAAATTTGTACTGATAATAAGTTCATTTTAAATTATATACATAGCTTAATAATATTAAATATATTTTATAAAAGAACTACTTTTAAAAAATTTAATCATGTAAAAATTTTGTCTGAAAAGTAATATATTAAAAAACTTGTTTTATCTTTTATTTTAGTGTGCAAGAATCATAAAGATGAAAGATATGTAGATCATCAGGCAATAGTTGAAAATGGAAAAATTATAAAAAATACAGATAATTTTGACATACAAAAATTGATTGAGCAAAAAAATTTTAAAATTGTATCTGTAAGTTAAAATAGTTTACTTAAATACTAATCTTATTGAGAATATAATATAAAAAAAGAAATTTTCTTTTTTCCATAGTTGCAACAATCAATCCAACAATTGAAAACAGAACGAGATCATTACAGGAAAGAATACATTAATTGTCGAGATGAGCAACACAGAGCATCTGATAAAGATAACGTAATTGAATCTGAAAGAATCACATGAATATGTCTATGAAGGATTGTAATTTTATTATTTTATAAATTGTGTAGGCTGATTTATGGACACGAATATGTGAATTAAAACGCGAATTAAGCGATGTGGAGCAAGCTTTAAGTAAAGCGCAACGGGAGAAAGAAGAGCTGCGTTTTCAAAAGGAAGATCTAGAAGCACGATTGAAAACTTACAAGGATCAGCAGAGACAAGTATGTGTTCCTTGCAGATCGTGCAAACCTGTCCGTACTTGTACCTGTACGTCTGATTTGCCGATATCCGCCGGAAGTATCAGTGCGACAAAGGTACATTATAGTTTGTAAGTAAACTATAAATATTGATTTCAATTTTAATATTTTAATTCGAATGTTATGCAGACAATGCTCGAACGTTTGGAGCGAGAGCGGGATACAGCCAGAGCAGATTTCGAACGGCTCATAGATGAACGTGATGCATTACGGGAGAGACATAAGGTATAGCGTAGAGATAATGCATTTAAATTAAATTGTTTAAATATTATCCTAGTCCTTGATGGTTTCCTTGAAATTTTAATTTTAATAATTAAGTTAATCTTAACAATAACAATAACAATCTTAACATTCCCTTTCATTTCATTAATTATAATAGAATTTATATATATATATATATATATATATATATATATATATTATATAATTAATAATGATTTGTTTTACTAATTTTTTTATTAATACTTTCCATTGTGATTGCGGCAATACATGTGTTGTGGATGTACGACTGGATAATGTAGATGATGTCAGAAGCGCACTCGTGTGAACAGCTTCGTCTCAAAGAGAGTTTAGTCGAAGCAGAGACGCGGTTGAAACATGTAGAAAAAGAACGACAAGATCTGTTGGTCACTCAGGGATCGAAAAGGGCGACGATAAGCGATCTTGAGGATCAGTTGAGCAATATGCAAGAGGAACTGCATCGTACAAAGCAAGAATTAATGACACAACGGACGCAATATCATCGACTACGGTAATATATCCAAATCTTATTTCTTAAAAAAATAGAATATAATTTTTTTAAACAACACGATAAGAAACTAGCAAATAAGAGTCGCTGAATTGGGAAATCAGCGACTTCGCCCCGATATTTTTCTCGTCTACGTCTCTTCAGGGGGGTAAAGAGGGGTTTATAGAATTCTCAAAAATGAGAATCTATATCTTGATAAATGCACCAAGTAAAATATATGTATATGCCTTGTGTACGTTTAAATTCTCGCGAATAATTTAAGAAAAATTTTGCGTACTACCATCCGCGGTGGCTCTTATTTGCTAGTTTCTTATTGTGTTGTTTAATACATATAGAGCTTAATTCTTTGATTGAATAATTTTTTAAATTTTCCATTGCAGAACGCTTCAAGATCAAACGGAGCAGTCATTTGGAAACATACAGAGTCAATGGTCACAGACAGAATCGGAATTGAACAAGGCTTTGGACCGCAATAAAAGTATGGAACAGCAACAGACGCAATTGAATGATCAAATCAAGGAGCTGAAACAAGAAATTAATAATCTGCGCGCAAACATGACAGTTTTGGATCAAGAGAAGGATCGATTATTGGTAAATGAGATTGTGCAATAAATTACATTGCTATTTCATAAACGACGATTTATAAAATTGATTATTTCTTTTTTTTCCAGATGGCATTGGACGAGAAAACGGAGAAGATTGCTGCATTGGAACGAGAATTGATGTATAAGGATCAAGAAACAGAGGGGATACATCAACAAATCCGCGATTTACAGCATAAAAACGAGTAAGTACATCTGCATTTATTTACAACGTTTAGTAATTCCTAGAAAAAAAAGTGGCACATCTCTTATGAAACTCTAAACTTTATAAATCATGAAACCATAGATGGTATTTACAATGCCCAAGGTATAAAATATAATAAATAAAGCTTCGTTCGACGTAAAACGAAATGAAACTAAAAAAATAATTAATCGTATAATATTATACAAAATTAAATTAATTTTATATAATATTATACAAAATTAAATCCATCTTGTCTGAAATGTTTAAACGCATCGCGCGCGTCCTTCGCTAGGTAGAAAAATAAATTTATCTCGTGAAATCTGTAATAAATTATAAATGTTCTACACGGCGCAGATTCACTGCGCCATTCAGATCATTATCGATTTGACGTTATCGTTGAGAAATTTTGCCAGGCTCACCGCGGGTGGCTGGCAGCCATTCAACGAGATCAGACTGTTGCTTTCCAGTTCCTCCAGAGCCTCTCCCGAGCTCTCAATGGTCCTTTTATAACCGGGTCGACATTCGCATCTGGCTTTGGGTCGCGACTTCCCTTCTCGCCACAACCGACCGTTCCTCGGCATTCTTTGCGCTACCAACCACTCGCCTGCGGTGCACGGGCCCTGCGTGTACAGTTTGTAACAGGTTTTATTGATCATCACCATACCTGGTGTGCTCTCGCAGTCGTTGTCACTGTCGACTCCCACGCATTTGCCAGCGTCTCTCATGACACTGGTGCACCCGCACACGCCGTTATATCCGATCCCGTCGAGGGACGGCCTTACATTATAGTCGTATAACACTATCTGCCCGTTTGGACATGGTCCTCGTGTGCCAATCTTGTAGCAAGTCTTCTCTTGAGGAAAGTATAATCTACCGCGTTTACACGGCACGGGAACGCAGGTCGACGAATTGATCAGCATGTAACCGCTCTCGCAGGGTCCTCTCGTGTGCAACCGATAGCACTGTCCGTTCTTATATAACACATGACCAGATTTACACACACAACTGGCTCGCACAACATCCTCCTGCGTCGATGCTCGGACGTCCATAGTTACCACAAAATGATGTCCTTGCGAACATGGACCGACGCCTCCTGATATGCAATTGTCAAAATTAGGAATTTAGAGAAATATTCTTGAAGAACTGGATTAAAAATCGAATTCAATGAAAAAAGAAACAGGTTTATACAATTTATTATTCGATTAAAAGTTCAATACGAATATCTCACCCAGTTGATAGCACATTTCGCTCGGTTCGTGGTAGTGAGGTAATTGAGAATGGCAGCCGCATGTGCCACCCGGTAGGAACAGTTCTCCCGATTCCGAGCACGGACCCTTGGTGTAGTGCTCGTAGCAACCGCCGCCATTCCCCAGCCAATGGTACCTGCTCAGTTCGCCAGTCGTCGAGCACGAGCAAGTCGCTAAACCGTTCTCACCCACGACCAGGAGCTCGCCACGCGGACAAGGACCTCTGCTAAGCCGCGGATAGCATTTACCATCTCTAGGCCAGTAGATCTCGCCTCGCTCGTCACAGGGTTCGGGATCGCGACAGACTCCCCATCGTCGCTTGGACCTGAGGGGAAGATTCATCATTTGTATGCGAGCGTATGATCATCTCCGAATGAAGAACTTAAGAAGAGGCTTTCTATTTTTTTTTGTACCCCAGTTTATTGGACGTCTCGGGCACTGGTGCGAAGAATTGACCCTCCGAGCAGGACGCTCTCGTGAATATCGGATGGCACAGGGCGTCCCTGGGCGATTGCGCGGTTCCCGGGGGACATCGGCATTCCGCGATCGTTCCGCCGCCGTCAGCCGCGGGACCCAGTTCCATGGTTTCCGGACACGGAGCGCCGATCTATCGCGATATGTCATAATCGTCAGAAATCTCTTGCGAAATGATTATTCAAATTCAACATGCAATCTTTTTTTATAGATAACGGAGATTATAGCACCCCTGCCTGGAATATTTTGTAGCATTTCCCATCGGCCGGCCAGTATAGCAACTGCCAACCGCGCGGTTGCGCGGCGCATGGATTGCTCGAGGGATCGGCCCACGGCGGCGGCATTATCGCGGTCCTCGCGTTCACCACTGACAGAAGGCAGATGATGCATCCTAGGAGGATCCGCATCGCGCTGAAAATTATCGCGTTGAGATTATTTCGAGTTCAGCAAGCTCGGCAAACGGAAATTGTTCCGTTGCGACCCTCGTCAGCCACGTGGGGACACGTGAGAAAGTCACAAATGTCAAAAATGTAATACGCTCAGTCACAACTGCAATGTAATGTAAAATCGGTAAGACATGACAATCGCGTGAAGCGAAAGATACCGATTTTACCTCTCATTTTTAACGCGCGCACACGAGTAATTTCACGCGTTTTATATCGCGTTGCTACGTGAAGAGTGTTTTGTCGAGAGATGCGACGTTCAAAACGAGACTATCGTGAAACGTCGATGCGTGTGCGGTGCGTGCGTGCGTGCGTGTTTGCATGCGAATACGAGTGGGAAGAGCAGAGGCGCGAGGGCAAAATGACCATACTTTCACTGTTTCACTATGGCAATGGCATTGTCCCTGGCGGCAGGGCTTAGGATGACGACATGTGCTCGGAATAAGAATAATGTCGTCTATATAAATGCTCCCCGCGTCGCGAAACGGCCTTTTCTCTTTTTTTTTTTCTTTCTTTCGCCTGTCTCGCGAAATCTTACCGATACGAGGACGTTTGAAGATCGAGTCTTAAGATCACAAAAGCAACAATAATTTTTGCAAATTTATTTTCAACTTAAATGATCTATTCTCGCGATATTTTCTATATCGAATATAAATTACATATGTTTATAATGTATAACTTTTCTAACATATTTTGCACACGTTGTTCAGTCAGAATGCGATAGCATTAGTGTCTTTTCCTTTTTTTTTTAAAAAACAAGGAAGTAATTAAACAGCGAGGTCCAAATGCTAGTTGAGTTTCTTCTCTAACTTTCCACTGTCGAAAGTTTTATCTCTCGTCGTGACGTTTCGTTAATTACCAGCGTCGCGAGATTAATCTAGCGGTTGTCGTTCAGCGGTGATTCATCCGGTGTACAAATAATATAATTAATGCGCTTCGTTAATTGAAACAAGATAATTACAATCTGATGTAATGTAGTTTAATCTTCTCGATAAACTTTTCACATTTTATAGACATATAACTTGCCGTGTCTACGGAAGACTCGCATCCTGGAAGTGATCGCACATTACCGCATTCCGTCTCTTGTAAACACATACGTGAGTACTTTACGCGCGGAAGGAGTTATTTTCTTTCCCTATTAACGCCGCGCGTCGTTGAATCGGTTTAACAGTCGAGCGTGAACAAAGGAGCCAGATCGTTATCCGTGACGTTACACTCCCTCATAAGATTGATGCTCGCAAGTGTAAATGCGACGAGTTCATTACACAATCGTCTAATTAATGATCATCCGGCAGAGGCGAGTTACATCAGAACTTTCTCGCTCGTAGAATTTCCATCTGCACAAGGAAACAAACAGTAAAATTTTATCGCGATAATAACATCGATATATTTCTCAAGAATGTAGAAAACAATCTTCGTTAATGAACAATCGATAAAACGCATCATTTAACATTCCTGACCTTTGATGCTCTTTGAAATTTAAAAGTTAAAAAATATTAAATAATATAAATTAAAAAACAAATAACAAATAATGCAAATTAAAAAGTATCCAAGTTAAAATTAAATATAGAAATTCTTATTTCCGCAACAATTTTTATAATTAATTAATTAAATTCAACGAAAGGCGAAATCGATCCTGGCCGATTTTATTCGCAACTTATGAGTCAAGTCTCGTTTAACACAGAATGTCAATTCGATATAGCGTACATCGACACCAAGTTTCGATATAAGATTCTTAATATACGTCTGATATATTGCCCGATACAATCTTTCTCTAAGATAAATTTCATCGAGAAGGCGCGGATTTCTGGAAAGGCACGTGCCACAAATTCTCGATCGAAAGCTATCAATTGCCATCATGAATTCCTGTTCGACCTGACGTGTCCTTATTGCCGCTTACCTGGCGGCGATGACATTCGGTATAGGTATGCTAATAACTTACGCAACATGGGGTGTATTGCATAATTTATATTTCCTTTTTTAATACGTCATTATCGAAATTGATCAAGATTATGTCCGCGATATATTAATATCGTAAAGAGAAAACTCGCAAGAACCTAATGAGACATTTTTATCTCGAATGATAGATGTATATGTATATAACAGATTCCGTCAAATCTAATTGGAATTTCTTTCCATTTATTATAATGCCATTAAGATTAAATCGTATATCGATGCAAGGAGATATGCACAAAAATTATACTTTATTTATTTCACATCTAAAACTTTCCATATATAATTTTACTCTTTTATGGAACAGATTAGAATATCTTTCCAGGCCCGCGACATTTGTACGACACGTTATTGCAATTATTTATCTGCCGTGATTTTATACTTTCTTTGCCGGAGATGCACTTTCTCCGTCTTCCGTGTCGTTAAATTGTAATAACCAGTTATTACCGGAGTCACTCGTCTTACACGCATGTCGTACACGCGTGCTACTCGGAATCTATGTTACGGTATCCACGAGGAATTTTCTACGATATTTCTAATCGCGCTATCATTGAGATCGCGCTTATATAATCAAGCGTGGCAACGGGGTGGACTTATATTCCCGTAAAAAAGAAAGTGCCTGTTAATACATCATAATCGATCTACGCCGCGAAATCACGCAATATAAACAACGCGAAATCACGTAACGTCGATCGTTTGCGCGATTTTTTTTTCTTTTTTTTTTTGCTCAATGGAGCTTGGCGAACACGATATTCGATTAATTTCTCTTTAACACATTCTATATTAACTTTGAAGCGATGACAAAATATCGTGAACACGCTTTCTATTTAATTCTATAATTTTCTCGAGTCTTCTCGTTATATAAAAATAAAATTCCAGTGATGAAAAAATGTCACATTGTAAACGTGTCCTTTCGCATCTGATGAGCGCAGCTTCCGAGATAGTGAAAGGAAGATGTCAAATGCCACTTTGTGTAACCTTTCGAAGAATATTTATGCAATCATCTAGTCTTACTTACTAGTCAATCCCAGATCAATGTGTTATATTATATTATATATAATTATGATACATGTCTATATTTTTTTCATCGAAGAATCTAATTCCGCCTAAAACGTACCTCGTCATCTTCATGATGATATATTCGACGATGTGCTTGCGTTGTGTGTCTACTGTGCGTCACTACTTCACAAATTATTTTTTCTTTTAATTCATCACTCGATTCTCCACATCTTATATCAGAGGCTCGAGATGAATCGCGTCATCGTCCTTATCGTCGTCGTCGTTCTCGTCATCGTTGGTCTTATCGCCGCGAAAACCTCAGCGAGACTGACTCGCGCTCGTCCCGGCTTCGAGGTTCTATGCTGTTACCTAACTCGACCAAAGTCGGAGACCGCCAGTGAATTGGACACTATTCGTTCAGACCTCCTGGAATGACTAATACCGAGTGCAATCCATGCCCGGGAAAAACCGTCTTGCAGCCCGTGTCTCTTTCTTTTTTACCCCATTTTTCATATGCGTAATATCAGAGCCGGGCGCAAATTATAATCGAATATCCGGACTTTCTTTCAGTAAACCTATACCTTTGTCATCGGGAAATTTTCCTTACGAAATGTAGTGCTTTAAACATTTATTTTACGTGTATTTTTATTCGTACTTTCGTTATTAGGTCAGTGATTCAACATCATGTCTATTTGAAGAAATATTACAAGACTCGATGCATATTTATGAGGATTGTCTGATAATTTTTGCTGTAGATTTAATCTAGATACAGGTACGAAAATATGCATTCATTTTTCTTCCAATACGACGGTCACATTTAAGGATTGCACACATCGCATCTTGTATCCGGTTCGGTACAAATGGAGTATGTGCATATTTTACTTCTTTATGCGTGTAATTGCGGGGGAGGAAAAAAAATCGATATCCTGTGCGTAGGATTTTGAAATCTCTAACGCGTAAATCCAATGAGATCATCTACTGTTCGATCTCCTGTTTGTGTCGAATTCGATTTAATCAACGAGATATGATTGCACGATGTGTATTTTAATAGATTACATCATTCGAATTAACTAATAATTTTATTTGATGAAAAATTCGCAAAACATCGTTGAAAAAATTCCGAGATGAAAAGAAACTAATTTTGACAAATATATCTTTTCACGTAATATTACGATTGTCTTCTCGTTTGTCTCCTTAAAAAAATACCGTTGCGACACTTTCACGCAACATCTTTATTACACGAGGAGGACGACTTTCATCGTCGTTCGACCTCCCGAAACGCCGTCGTCCATCAGCGACGATAGTTAAAGCTCTCATGGGCCAGCAGGTTTCTTCACGAATTGTTGCATAATTCGGCACCGGACTCGGGTAAATCCGGTAACGAGAAACGCATAATCGTCCGACAATCATCCAATCTGACGTAAAGAGGTCAAAAGCGAAGCACATTTGTCACATTTTTGTCATCATATTGTCACTGCTCGCGTCATTGCTTCTTTAGTCTTCCTGGCATTTTAAATTGCTGTAACCTTGAAAAATTACATGATCATCAAATTATTTGATTGCATTTGATACAGATATTCAAGATTTTTTAAAATATATATAAAATAGTATTTTCGAAATAGGCTAAAATAGAGAGCATGTTAAATAATTATGAATGATAAAATATATTTTAATTATAATTATTTTATATATTAAAAAAACTTTTAATATATAAATACACACACACACACACACACACACACACACACATATATATATAAAGTATAAATACTTGAATTTTTTATTTCAACAAATTGATTGTTAAAAAAATTATAACATATTCATTTTTTTAATGAAATATTCTATTTTTCTTTGATTCTATTTTTATTTTTTTTAATACATATGTTTATTTATATATTATATTTTTTATTCTATTTTTCTTTGATTTAATTTTATCTTTTTAACGTACAATGCCTTTTATTTAAAAAGGAGCAAATTTATGAAAACTTACATCGAATGATGCATTTCATGTTTGGATAATTTTATATATGTTGGGATTACAACGGTTCTTTTTTTCTTTCTTATCATCTCTTCGCTTCTTCTTATTACGTAAGTTTGGTTTCGAGGAATGCGTGCAATGCCCTTTACCTATAACGGTAACGTTAAACCAAAGAGTGTCTCGTCGAAAGGGCACGCCCAAGCCTTTTCACATAATTTCTCGAGTAAACTATAAATAATAAAAATGACTCACGCATATATCCCTGAGTTATCAAGTATTGAAACTTTGTGTAGACATAAAAAATAATTTGAATAAAAAAAATATTCTGCATCAATAAAGCGTATGTTCGAAATTTAAAAATTTTCATAAATAATTCACTTGTTTTTAGATCATCAAAAATTTATATGTATCATATAAAAAAAGAATAATGTAAAGTTAAAAAGACTAAAAATTCCAGAAGTTAATCTATCTCTGTAATAGTTATATCATATGCCTTTAAATTTTTTTAGGTTTCTTTAGATTGCCTCTATAAACAGGCAACTAGTACCGTTTGCTATCAATTTCGATATTTAAAACGGTACATCTTTTGATGAGGCAATCGAGGAAGGGAATAGGGACCTAACGGATCCTTCTTAGGGCGATGCACTCTCGGATTCACACGTTTCCACAAAGATTTCGTCACTTTTGATAAAAGCATACGAATATATATATAGATTATCTCAAGCTAAACAGTCTCGCGAAATGCAACTTATATCGTACGAATTATAAGAGGATAAAAGATGCGAATCATCAAATCATATATGCATATCTTGTAGCTTTTACACGTGAAATATATCGCGGCAAAAAGTACACATTTACTCTCAATATCTAAGTCAGAAGCAAATTTCGATAATAAATTATGCACATAAAAATCGCGATAAATAGGTCTCGCGCACTTTCGATTTCATATTATACTGAAATAAATTTGCTATATGGGTCTTTATAATTAGACGAAGTATAAAGCTACGAAGAACATTTTCTCTGTCGCGAAGAACATCTTTGCATACATTAAAAGAACGTGGAACACTTACGATGCTTTCTATGGTACTTTTCCTTTTACGTTGTATCGTCTGAACTTTCTTCCTAAATGATGATGCTGAAGAAAGAGAGAGTGAGATGCGAACTTGAACACTCAAGAGGGAGCCGGATAGATAATTAGATGGTGAACAATATCCGAGTTCAATTGAATTACGTAGACTTGTCATCTGAAAAATTTACATTGATCAACATGTGTCTGTTTAAAGTTTCAGAGTACCGGAAATTTTCCGTATCGCGAGATACGCGAAGAAAGACTGGAAATTCACTACCGGTATCCGCCTTTATGGCGCGATCAATTTCATCGTCGACTCTATGGAAGAGAAATTTCTATCTTGCCGTAAACCCGTGGAAATGAAAATAATTTCTTCCAGTATCACGAGTGCATTCTTCTGTAACATCCGTGACATAATTTCCATCGTCATTATCGCGAGGTGATAATCCGCCTCGAGGCATGACGAGGACGAATCGTCGAGCGTGCACACACGATCAAGCTGATGAAACAAATGAGAGAATTAATTATACGAATTCAAAATATCTTCAGGATAGTTTCGAAAAATAATGAGATAAATTTTCCAATAGAAAATCATGCTTTCTCTCGCTTTTCATATGCAAGTTTAAAAAAGTTTCATTCCATATATATGTGATCAATTTTAAATTGAAAAAATTGTTATTAATTCTTAAAAAATATTCTTCGTCTTTTCTAATGTGAAATATATATCTTTCAAGGCTCATTAATTTTATAGCGAATTAATTAATTAAATTCTTTGAATTCTTAATTCTTAATTCTTCAGCAAACAATTTTTCTTTCTACTAGAATCGTAGATTGATAATATATCATGGAAAATCCGCGCGAAAAATGCTTTTCTCGATCGGCGGAATTTGTTTTCACTTTCATAGTCCGGACCAGATCCGTCGCGGCTGCTGCTGTTGCTGAGAAGGATAGCAAGAAAGGCGAGAGAAAGTCCTCCGGCGTTCGGGTCTTTTTCGCGCGCGCCTCGATCATTGAAGTCCCACGATTACGCAAGTCGTGCGTAATCGGCATGGGTGATCGATGGTCCACGCGGCTGTCCGGGACGCTTTGAGAATCTAGGATTGCGACGAGCGATTTATTGGCTTATCGAAAGTTGGAAATGATTGGCTTTCAATAGCACGCATCAACGTTTTCCGCGATGAAAGCTGCGATGATGTTTTGCTTCCAGTTCTTCCGCGAAGATTTCATCTAGGATGTTCAATTTTTTGTCATTTGTATCCACGTATGCATATATGTGGCATAATATAAGATAAATAAATTAATATTAATATTAAATAAATTAATATTAGTTTAGCTTTCGGTGAATTATTAAGAAAATTGCACGTACAACTCGAGATCTCTATATAAATGATAACATAAAAATCTCATCACGTACAAGTACTTCATTTCGAGAAAGAGTTGGGAAACGATAGACGTCTAATTCGTTCGTGCTGCCCTTGTCCCCTTTCGCGAATGTATCTTGCGCCACGAGGAACAAGCGCGTGATCCGCATAAGCTATCGTAGATCGATTAAATATTTGCGTATACTGATAGGCGACTCCCTAATAGTGGAAGTCGATACTTATAAGTATCGAAGATAATGTAAAATAAAAATCGTATTTGTGTTATATTTATATCAGCGTTCGAATAATCTGAAATTTATAAATTTGCGGAATAATTTAATTATTTGCTTCGCGAATAAGTCTGTATTATATATTTTTTCGTGTTCTGCAACGACGGAATTAATTGTAGAATATGCATCGATCAGAGCGCGGAGCGGGAACGTCAGCTGAAGGCGTTACAACTAGAGATGGAGACGACACAGAGACAGTTCAAGGCCGCGTCGATAGATCGCGAGAACGCGATCCAGGAGAACCGAAAGCTACAGGACGATCTGGCTGCGATGACCTGCGAGGTGCAGAATCTACAACGCGAGCAGGAGACCTCGCGAGCGGAATGCTACGATCTCAAGAGACAGCTGCAGACCTATGTCAGCGAAGTACGTCGCGCTGAAGAACTCCTAAATCGAAAGGTAAGATTTTAGATATTTTTATGGATAATAAATATTCACTTTGAATATTGATTATCTTCTCCTTTTAGGAGAACGAGAGAACGGAGATGCTGAACCATTTCCGCAGTCTCAGTTTAGAAGCGACGGTTTTGGAGAACAGCAATCATAGCTTGGAATCCGAGGCGGCGGAGGCTAAAGCTGCCCTTCAAACCGCGAGACATCAAATAGCCGATCTAGAGCGTCAATTGACTGACGCGGAATGTTTGATAAAAGGCTACGAGACTCAGGTACTTTTCTCACAGTGTATGCAAGAAATCATTGATATTTTTCGTTATCATATTAATAATGATGTACAACTGAAAATAAGTAAACTCAAGTTAAGACCAATGAAAATAAGGAATATAATTAATTTTTAAGTTGTGAATATATCAAATCTTTTCTTTTCCTTCTCCTACCTGATGATTTAACGATTTTTCCAGATAAGCAATCTAACGCAAAATGTGGCTAGTATGGAGACACAGCTGCGACAGCAGATCGAACAAAGACACCGAGCTGAGACCGATCTACTGGCGGTCAGGGATCTATGTGTCAAGTTAGATCAACAGAAGGATACGCTTGTGGAGCAACTCGGCGACAAAAATACCATAAAGGAACATGTAAATACTTACGTTTGATTTCTAATTTTTTATGCACACCAGTTGTTTGATTTCTCTTTGACGGGGCACTTTTTTAAACTTTCACGTAGTACGAAGCGCAAGTGTCGAGGCTGAAAGCTGAGCAGAGTATCGTACAAGAACATATGACCAGAGATCGCGTGACTGTAGAACGATTGGAGACCCTTTTGGATCAAGCGAGGCAAGAATCCATGAACGCGCAGGCCACTAATCAGGAACTGCAAAACGAAATCTCCAGATTAAAACAGAAAGTTTCCGAACTTCAAAATAAATTGTACGCATCTCATTATATTACGTTATTATCTGTATATTAAGCTCAGATCTCTACGTTTCTTTTACAGATCCTCAGAATCCGCAGAGCTTAGGCAATATCAGAATCAAGCGGCGGAATATAGTAAACAGATCAGTGAACTCCGTAGACAGGTTACCAATGAGAGGTTTGATCGTGCGAGAAAGGAAGAACAGAGTCGCAGGTATTTTATTGCGATTGCTAAAAATGCTCATGTTTATCTTTTTTCCTCATCCGCGCATCTTATTAGTAGAGTATTCTATATCATTAGAATATTGTCTATCGTGAGCGTTTCTAAATTTAGAGATTCTGAAGAGTCTACGATTCTCCATCGACAAAAACTGCTCCACGATCGCGCTATCCTTCCTCAATCGAATGTTAGACCCTCCAGTGGCGAGAGTGCCGCCGCTACTTTCAGGTAGAGTCAGCGTAATGATCGCGTTCGAAAGTAGACCAAGATTAATCAGTGTCAATTACAAATCTGCCAGGCAAACAGACTGGTTAAGGAAACCGTATACCGCGATTCCCAAACACACCTGTGTACGCGATCCCGGTCAAGAGGTCGGATCGATAAGTCGCGACGATCGATCGTTCTCACTCGATTGTCGATGTTCCTCCCTCAGGAAACGTATTCCCTCCGTCGACTTCATCCCATGTCCCGGCAGATCTCCCTCTCGGCGCAAGTTTGCCGACGACACGAATAAAAATTCGAATCTTTCTTAGCGGGAAAGTATCACTTATAGTTGATAACGCGATTTTAATGTCGAATCTTTTATAAGGATTATTAATTTTTTCGAATTAACTTTGTGCGGTATTATATTATATTTATACATTTGTAAGAAAAAAAAAAATATATATATATATGAATTTTATCACAAAGATTGCCTTTTTGTTGCAAGGCGTTCGCTCAATCAAGAGCTATAAAAAGGAATTTCTCAACGTAATAATATAATTATGAAATTGTATACGCATCTCATTGATATCTGTGTTCTCTGCTTATTTTTACAGGTCGCTAAATTCGAGCCCAGACAGTTTCAATGTAGATTTAAATGTAGTTATATAGTGAGTATTACTACATACGATGCCTCTTGATACAGATACTTGCAAAAGAACTAAGGATAACATCGATGAAACAAATGAAAATATTGCAAAATACATGAATTGATTGAACGTGTCGAGCACTGACAATGTGAATATAATTTGCAAATGTACAAAGAAAAATGCGTCATGACAATCATTTAAATATTGAATGACTGCGATATGTATTATATTAATATAATATGTATTATATTAATATAATTCTTCATCCAAAATGAATAAAATATCCGCCCATAAATCGCACAGAGAAAATGAAACACTTTCGAGCAATGGAAAACGGAATACTATATGACAATAGCAAAAATTTTAGAGTACCTAGAATATGGATCAAATTAAGATTATGTAACAAGTCTCTATACAAAAAAGGCATATTTTTCTATTTTTATTCTTTTATGAGCTAAGAAAATCTTTCTAAAGAGATGATTTAAGTAATTAAGCATAATAATTCATGACAAAAGTATTAAAACTAAATTTTTCGAATACTTTCGAGCAAAAGTATTTAATGACTTATTTTAAAATATTACTAAATTTAACAAAAAATAATAATGTACAACCTTAACGTTGTTCAAGTTGCAAAGAGTTCATTATGCAACTAAATGATATTACAAAAAATCAAACTTATATGTGAAAGACAAAACAATGTATGTACATATATAATTAAGAAAATAATGTATGATATCAATAATTTTGATGATATAAGCAAGAGAAAATAAAAGTATTGTTATTCTTATATAACAAAAAATATCCGATTGTGAAATATCGCGAATATTAAAAATACATGGATTATATGTGAATTCGTATTAAAAATTAAACTTTCACAAAGATTGCATCCGATTGCAAAAGATTTAATCAATAATAAACTTAAGCACTCTCTAAACTTATAAAAGGATTGTATTTATGTAGAATATATAATATACATTGAAATGTTATGTTGAGGCATATAAAATGCATAATATTGAGAGAAGAATGACTGAAAGAAAAAGAAAACGGAATAAATAGAAAAGACATACACGATTTTGATAAAAAATTTTACGAAATTTGAATGTTTAAAAATTTTGTCCGAGCTTAGAGACTACAAAAGATTTGGAGCAACAATTAACTGTATTAAATAAATCTCAGTAAAAGATATAAATGATAATAACTGAAATAAATAAGAAGTATTGTAAACACATTTGACATGTGTCTTGCAAAGAATAAATAATTTCCACAAAAAGTAACTAAATACCTTTATAGCGTCTCTTCAAGAGTACAAATTTGTATATTCTCAAGTTTTATATTTTTAAGTTATTTTGTACACTCAATTCATATCGTAATAAATTTATATTTTACACAATTTTTTCTAACTGAAGCATTATATATATCGTAATTAGATATTAAAAATAAATAGCATAAGTAAAAAGTAGATGACACACATATATAATTAATGTTATATATTTAAATTATTTTGTATAATATACGTACGTGTTAAGATGTAAGACTGTCGACTGTGATAAACCTTGCATTGTCCAGTTCTTCTGCATTTTCCTTCGATAATATTTTTTGGCCACTTACACATTCATTCGCAATACGATGGAGAGAAGGGAAACAACACACAATATTCTATATATATCTTTCCCATATTCTCCTTCGTATTTAGTAATTTATTATATTGTTTTTTTATTCCTTTACACAGATGTTTATTTATGATCTCAATGATCGTACGAAACGGTGAACATGTAAACTAGGTAATTACAAATAATAAAAATAAAAAGCCTCTCACAAGATTTTCGTCCTCCTAAAAATGTTCAGCTATTAAACTTGTTTTTATATATTTATATATAAAATACATAATAGAGGCTCGCACAGGGTCCATTATCATATTTTTATGTTTATCCATAAACGGCCATTTTGTAATATAAGACAAAGCCGTTTCTAAACACATTCTCTTTCTTCGCGCCGAACGAGTTAAATTAATTACAAAAATCTGTTCCTTGCAACTTCTACGTCTTGTCACAAACTATTATAATACAAGAATCTTTTCCTTTGTTTTTCTCTTATATAGACGCGTTAAACTTACAATCTTAAGAAATTTACACAGAGGTTTTAACATCGTGAATGAAATACAGGTATTATGTACAAGTATGTATATTGTATATATGTGTGAATATATATTATATATATATAATATATTTCGTAAAATATTATATATATATTTATATATTTGAATATGATTATAGAGCTTACTTTTATTTATCTGTTCCAAAAAACTCAATAAACAATAAATGCAATCTATGCCGTTCACAGAGTAGTGACGTCCAAGAACATAAAATACTTGTCTCTAATGCCTCAAACCGTTTAAAATAAAATAAAGATTCATTGTATTCTTAAATTACATATCGAGTTTTCCGTTGAATGAAATAGTAGATTGATTTTTAATCGATCATACTTGGTTTATAAGATTCGGAGAAAATCACCATTTCTAATTATATCTTCTTTTTTTTTATACATTGTATAATACAAAAGGAAATCTACGAACTTCCATAGCAATTTTTGTGAAAGCAAATAATGTTGTGAAGTATTGCGCCAAAAGACAACTTTGTCATTACGCGCCGCAACGATTATATTGCATTTCACGCGATATCACAATAAATTTCGTCTACTGTCCATAAACTTGTGTTAAATGTTATATTTAATCGAGACTCGAAGCGATATATTTATATGTAGTTTGCAAGTACAACTAAGCTGCCACGAGAGAATTAGACAGAAAAATATTTTCAGTGTGCGGATATCAGTCATGAAAACTGAGTTAACTGAGTATCAAAGAGAGAAGGAACAAAGAGTTCGATATTACAATCGATTATTTGTCGTTTAAAATATAAAGTACACAAATCGATTTCGTCATTTAAAGTATAATTTTAGGCCTTTTAAATCTGGATGTAAAACTTTGATATTTGTAATTTGTTGAATTTGCGAATATTTTTTATTGGTCTTGAAAAATTTGCGAAGTACTCTCTTTGATTGGAAATTTCGCTAAATGACAAAGTCATTTTATAAACGAAAATTTAATGATATGCCGCGTATTATATTATAGGCGAGCATGAAAAATTTTTTTTCTAGGTATCTTGACACATTGTAGAAGTCGAATCGGCTAGGAAAACTGCGTCGAGCTAAAACTGATCTAAACTAGACATCGTTTACGCAGTGATATGAATGTTCTGCTGTAATGACGAACTCACTAGCATGCCAATGCATGTTACTGTTATATCTTACTAATTTTTTTGACGATAATTAGATTAGTTAATAATAAAACAAAGAGAGACGATAATATAGCCATGTATAATTGCAATATGCAATTATATAAGCAAATAATAAATTCCTAACAAATACATTTCATAAAAAGATTTCGTTTTTCTTCTTTACAGCTAAGTTCTTGGTGATTTACGAAAAAAAAAACATACAATATAATAATTAATAATAGAATAATAATATAATATTAATTATAATATATTGATTATATAATTAACTATAACGTTCATAAAGTATCTTCTTCGTTATTTTTTGTACATGTTCACTAAAAACACTTTTTCCATATTTCTTGTTGAGAAAATAAATATTAATATTAAATCTGTGAAATATATCATCTCTTTCACACACAACATACGCGCGCACACACAATACATACACATACATGCTATCTCTTTACTTATTTGCTCGCTTTTTTCGTATTTTCTTTCTCTCCCTCTCTCGCAAACACATATCACTTTTCCGCATTGATTTTAACTAAATGTCTTTGTTTTGTGTTTCACTAGTACAGTTCATGTTATAATCTAAAATTGGCAAAGTATTTTGCCTAGTAAGTTTATAGGCCTCTTTTTTCTATATATGGAACATTTATCCTCGATACCATCTCCTCTAGTCCCAATTTTTCAAATCTTATGGGCACGTACTACACACGCACGTACGTACACATTCATGTGCACGTGTCAGCACAGCAAACACGATTATAAACTTATATGTTCGTTTCCCCCGTACCGCATAATTCGAAATAATGTAAGTTGATCGCTGCTCATGAGATTAAAAGAGCTCTTAGAGGCCTGATTCAAGAGGTCACCTATTATGGCTACTGCTACTCTGGTCATTCATGTCATATAGGACTTGTGCGATCGTTCTCGATGATTCGACGTTGCTCAATGCCACGCCTGCCAAATGGGGCTCGTACGCTCTAAGGTGCCTGCAAATAATTCGTGAAAAAATTTTAGATCGTTCGCGAGTTACAGTAATCGTAATAACAAAGTAAAATCAAAATTTACCTTCTACCATGTGTTGAGTATATGACTAGGTTCCTAAGAATGAGAGCTGCCGTTAGGCGAATACTTTTGGTCACTGGACCTTCGTTGTCATCCTGTAAAATAAAAAGATAACAGTTGACGATCATGTGCGCTTGTTTCTTTTCACACACAGGTAGCAACTGATAGGAATGAAGACACTGATATTTAATTGCTAAAAAAAATCTTATATGAAAAATGCATGGATATGGTATACGATAATTCCAAATTGCATGATTTGGTTCTACGAATGCGTCATGAGAATCGTGTTAATATCGTGTAAGAAGCTGCGATCTCTCGGCGAAGCTGGTTCGTTTGTCCTGAATGCTACATAAATTCGTATTAAATACGTAAAATTACGTTTATAATATGTAACGACGAACGAATCATATCCTTGCACCTTAACCATATTACAACAATAGAACAAATACACGTACATACAAACATGTTCAGACCTACGTCTAGCGCATCTACTTTTTAAGTACGATCTGCTTTCTGCTGCTGTTGAAATGAACATTGTGCCAACACCTTCCTAATATGAGTATTGCGAGTCGGACACATGTAAAAAAGACAAATGCTACGAAATGTAATGTTGAAATAAAAATGAAAAAAAAAAAGACATGCTACAACAAACGGAAGGGTAAAACAAACGAGGAGTTTGAGGGATGATATGGTGTGCGAGAGAAGATAAAGAATAAAAAAAGCACAAAGAGGCGACAAAAGGGACAGCAACAACAGCAGCGCACAGGGGCTGTGGCTGTATTGTGGTGGTTTTTTTCCAACTCTGAACACATTTTTTACCTGTTCCGGTGGAGAATTTTGCCCAGGTCTGGGGGAAGAAGAGCTTGATGAGGTGGCTGCAGCGGGCTTGGTCGGCCTCTGCTGCTTTGCCAGGGAAGAGAAAGAACAAGAAATTTCGTTAAATTAATCGTTCAAAGATTATCAAAGGAACAAGATCGAAGACTTGAGAGATTTCACAGAATCGACTTGATAGAATATAAATATATGATAGGGATACAGATTATAAGAGAGAAGTCTATTACGAGATATGTAGAATTATAAATCTGTGTAGCAGTGTCATTTGTATATTGATTTATACTATCGCAGAGAGAAAGTTTACCTCAGAGATTATTCTTGTGTAGTATACAAAATACATTTTTTTAACCCCGTTCTTCCGTTCGTGTCTATTTTTCACCCAATTTTTATTTCCAAAATGCATTCTATAAATATTATTTCAAATAATATTTTTCAATTTTACATCTTTGTCAATCTTCCATTTTTAATCAAGTACAATACACACGCACTCACACAGAGGAAACATTTTATTAAAATCATATTAAGCATTCATTTAAATTTGTTTTCAATATATACAGAAAGAACACGAATAGAGAACGGTAAACTCCATGTCTTCGAGCACCGAAAATTTTGAAGTTATGAAACATTTTTAAAACTTACCATTAGCTCCTTAGGATTAACGAATTCCAGAGCGTGCCGTTTAATAGCGTGAAATGCGGCATTGGGTGCATATCCGGGATGATGCGGAGTCGAAGGTAAGGACGTGGAGACTTCGGTTTTACCCGTCACCGTCAACTGTTTTCTCCTTATCGACATTGTCTAAGAAAAGATTATCGCGAATGTAAAACTCGCCGGATCTTACCGATTATTAATTTCCTCGAGATTATTAAAAAAAATAAATTGCAAAATTTTTACTTACATCCGCGTTACAGTGCCTATCGTAAAGATGCGTCATTAACGAAAATCTGCGTCTCTTAAGAGCGTCGCAACTCGCCCACAGACACAATATCTCCTCGCCACCGGTCGGACAGTGAGCCTCACAAACATGAAGATAGACTTCGTGCGGTGTTTTAAATTGTCTGAAATCGAGAGATATTTTTCATATAAAACCATCACGCCATAAATGGATATATAATTATATTTCACTAGTTTCGGGGATTGAAATGGATTAAGAGTTCTCAATTCCAAAAGTTATTTTCGAACTTACCTAAGACAGCCTCGCCATTCGCACAGATAAGCGTTGGGGTCGATTTTGATCGTGATAGTTTTACTCTCCTGTGGTGACGATTGCGGCGTCGGTTGTTGTTGCTGCTGCTGTTGGCTCGTGGAAGGTTTTGACTCTGGCTCGGTAGAGGTCGACGAACTCACTGTCTTCACGACTTTCGTGGTGGATGGTGGTTTAACAGCGGACACGCCGTGCGTGGCAGCCGCCTGGTGCGGTGTCGTAGGTCTCGTGGGCGGCGGCGTGGACGCCGGAGTGGGAGTCACCACCCTGGACGGCACGCTGGTAGAGACCGGAGTTTGTTGTGCCATCGCCGGGATTGTAACAGTCACGGTATTCGGATTGGCCTGCGCCACCGAACTATTGACTATAATGGAGGCTTGCGGGATAGTAGCGGACGTCGGTACAAGAGGCGGTGGAATGTTGCCGAGCGCCGGGCTCTGTAAAATTGGCCGTGGCACTTGCGTCACAACCACTTGCTGCCCTTGCGGCGTTACCGCTACCATCTTCTGTGGGGTCGGCTGCGCGGCGGCTTGTGGTTGCAATATGATGATCGTCTTGGTACCAGTTCCCTGTTGCTGCGTTGTCTGCGCCACGAGAACGGTTTGAGCCTGTCCCTGCACCAGAGCTGTTTGCGGCTGTGCCAATACATAGTTTTGACCAGGTACACCACCGGACACTACATATTGCAACTGCCCACCTGCGCTCTGTTGTAGTAACACTTGAGGTTGAGTCGGGGGCGGTCTTCCCTTCATCGATGCGGTGGGAATGATAACTTGATTATTTGTCGGAATCGTTTGTTGTACGACTATCTGCCTGGGCGTCGCCACTATGAGTTGTTGCTGCTGTTGATGTGGCAGCGGTGGTTGTGGCTGCGGCGCCTGAGTAATTTGATTGATGAATATGTGAGGCTCTTCCTTGATGTGTAGAGTCGGTGGATCTTCCTTAACAAGAATAGTCGGCGTCGGTTCTGTCTTGACATGTAGAGGAGGAGGTGGAAGAGGAGCTGCTATCGTCGATGCCGTTGCTTCCTTTATCGTGTCCTTGTTAACATTTACTTGTTCCTCTAGATCTGTCTCATCTTCTATGCAATCCGCGGCCAAGGCTGCATAGAGATTTGCTGCGGTGGAGGAAACTGTTGCTTTTTCACTGTCTTTATCGTCGTCCTGTTCCTCCGATTTTATACTCGATACTGTGGATTCCGCTGTAGTCGAATCGACTGCTGGATCGGGCGACATCGTGCCATTGGAATATTTCGGCTTCTTGATATCTAATTCATCTGATTCACTGGCTGATCGTTTGATTCCTCGCGGCGCCTCGATCAGGGTATCCTCGGATGCCTCATTCTGTATGACGTTGCCGCCTTCCATCTCGGCCTTGAGTTTCAACTCGGTAGGAGATTCCTTTAATACTTTCTTAATGTGATTTTCCACTAGATCCATTTCCTTCTCGTTAATGGAATTCTTGCCGAGAACACCATTCAGTATCGGCTCCTTATCGACTTTTCTCTCTAGCAGATCAACTAGCATCATACTCTGTAACGGTTTATCTTTCGAACTCACGCTCGACGAATCCTTGGACGAGCCGTCCTCCTGCGCGTCGATATCCATATTATTGTTACTTGCCGGCGCACCGTTAAGTAGGATACCTTCGAAACTCGTCAACATGTTCTCCTCCTCGACGCCGACGCCGGAACAATCCCTGCTGCCGCCGATGCCGCTACTCGACGCCAGCGAGTTGTTGGTAGAATCCGAATCCTCAGCAATGGAAGTATATGTCGTGCGTTGATTAATCTTGTTTGGCGTAGCGGTGGCGACGGTGGTTGTCAAGGGCGGGCGACAAACCTTCGCCGGTGAAGAGGATATGTGATTTTCAGTCGAGTTTACCATCACTGTGGTGGTGGTAGATGTAACGATTTGATTGGCGTTGTCGTTATCGTTTACTTCAGTCTGGAATATACGAGATGCTCGATGCAGTCGAGACGATGTATGTCATACAAAATTTCGCCAAGTTTAGCTCGTAGAAGCGATACATACCTTCTCGCAGTTGTTAGTCATAACAAACTTGGCCCCGTTGAGCCTTTGTATCTTTTTGGCAGGAATAGGTGCGAGTGCCGATTTCTGCTTAGCGTTCACAGGAGTCTTTGGGAGTATCGTGGCTGGAGTGGCTGTGGGTGCGGCGGGTTGCATTACGCCCGTCATCTGTTGTTGCAGTAACCTTTGTTGTTGCTGACGTTGGGCAACCTAAGAAAAAGTTTGTGATGATGTTAATTGGGAAAAAAACTTAAATAATGTTTCGAATTTTTTTCCTATATTATTATATTTTTCGACGTTATCAATCTTACTATCGGAAAAAAATATGTCTTAAAGAACAATCGAATTCATCAAAAACCATGCTGTTGTTAGTGTTTAATATTATTCTCATCTATATTTCAAAATCACTCTGTTAAATATTGCTAATAAATCTCTTATCATAATATATTTGTCAAGAAGGAGAGGAAAGGATACGACATTCTGGTCTGAGTTTATATCTCTCAAAAAAAAGAAGAAATAACAAAATACGAAACAAAAATTTGAATACAACCAACACTACATTATAAGCGCAGACATTTTGACAAATAGTACTATAAAGAAGAATGCATATAAAACGTAATGCATATACTCATTGTATAATATAGATATTCCTGCAACATAATTAATATACATTGGAAATTAAAAATACTTTAGATAGATATCTTATATATAACAGACTTGTTAAAAGATTATTTACCTCGTACGAAATAGAAAAAATTACAGTTTACAAATGAAACAATTTCCTAATTCAACTTAAGAAAAAAACCTATTAATTTATATTTCTTTTTGCCGATTTCTTTTTAAATTGTATATGTTATATATATAACATATAATATTTAATTCAAAATGCACTTTAAATATTTTCTCGTTATTATTTGTATATTATCAATACATATAATCATCATTAAAATATTAGAAAAACAAATGAAGATCCAAAGATTTCAATCTGGTACATTTTAGAAAAAAAAATAGAAGACCAAAAAAAACTACTTATTCTCTTGTTAATGTACAACAATGATACCTGGTTGCTGGTTATTAGCTGGTTGGCACTGATGCTGGATGCGATGCTAGCGGTAGTATTTGTTACGCAGGCAGTAGGAGTAGACACACAAGTCGCAACAGCACTGGGCATGCAGTCGCTGCTGACTGTTACCTTAGTAGCCAATAGGCTCTTTATTATGGAACTCGACGTAGTGCCACTTCGATTATCTTCCTTAACAACTACCTGGACACTTTGTGACTGTTGCTGTGGTTGCGGCTGTTGCTGCTGTTGCGGTGTTTGGGAACCGCTCGCTAGCAACGCTTGGCTCAGATGCGGATGCGATACTGATACCTAATCGACAAGGAGGCAACATACAAATTTCGACCACCATAGCGGAGAAAAGTATAGTAGCATTTACGTGAGCACACAATCTGCGATATATCTCATACATTATAGCGTGGCTATAATTTTGCGTAGTTGGAAGAAGCGTTTGCAAGCATAAATCACAAATGATTACGATGATTGTATCGATTTTCTCAGAAAGAATTCTGATATTTTTTCTAAGACTGCGATGATTGCAAATAAGAAATACAAAATATCCTACATGTAACAAAGAAAATTTCATACACCGTATAAAATAATAGATGTAAAAGTGTAGATACTTTCTAAGAGATCTTGTGCAAAAATGAGATAAATGAATATTGCGTTTACGTTCTACTTTATCTACATCAATGACCATAGAGCTAAGTTGATTCGCACGAAGCATGCAAAGGAAACTCTCTCACCCCTGTATTACGAGGAAGTAAATACTAACTCGTGTTAAAAGGGAAAACCAACAGTAAGAATAGCGTTATGAAGCTATAACACAACCAAAGTGAGAACTAAGGTCATGAGAACGGCAGAGAACGGTACAGAGAGAGAGCTAGGACTCGGACCCACCTGACTTTTAGAATCGACCTTGGTCACTGGATTTTGGGACTGGCTCGAGGTGTTGTTGGACGGGGGTTTCGGCGGTGCGGACAATTGGGCCTTAAGGATAGGAGACGCGGGGGTAGTGGAGGTCGTTTGCGTCCCGGACGACGCGGCGGGACTATCGACCTGGGGAGCGGCCGTGCTATCGGGTGCGGGACTTATATTCTTGACTGTACGCTGTTGAACAGGAAGCACCTTTACTGGAGTTGTGTTGACCGCTGGAATCGGTGTATTAGTCGCGACCGCAGCGGTAGTTTGGCTCGGATAAGTGATCGGTGCGGGTGTCGCTCGTACACGGATGCCTTCATAATACTGAGTACCGGTATTCTCGCCCTTCAACGGATTCGGCCCCACGATACTGCCGAAAACGGATCTGTGCCGATAATACATGGCATGAGAGACACACGTACATATTTTACGTGTGATAATTTATTGTCTGAAGCAATTATACCTGACGCATCTGGGAAAATGCAACGGGGCTATTACCCCTCGTCTGCCGATTTTCGTACAGCAGCCGAGATACTTTTTGTACAACTCCTCCTGCTCGATGCGTATACCGGGTGCGAGCTCGAAAGTCGCTCTTACCCAGTTTAAAGCAAACTGCTCGTTCTCCTGAATGATTTGCTGATGCGCATTTTGCTGTTGAATCGCATTAGACGCCTCCACTGCTTCTATAAACGTAAAAAATAACGTTCGCCGATATTAAAAAGCACTTTCAGATTTTAACATCCTGAAAAAGAAGCCAGAAGGATTACATACTGTGCGTTGTCGACTTGGTTGAGGTCGCGGCGGGAGTTGTAGGTCGAGATGATGCCGGACTGGCAGGTGCCGCGGTGACGGTTGCGGTGACCGTCGCTGGAGTAGACGGAGTAGATGCGGACGTAGTCGTTGAGGCTGGCGTGGTGGGGGTAGCGGGGACGGAGCCCTGCACAGCATTGTTTTGTTGCGCCGCCACTGTGGATACTGTCTCGACTACTCGCATGAGAATACAAGCCTTTGGGCCGTAACTTTGCGCCTCCACGGTGACGAGAGCGACCAGAGTGTCAATGGCACCGCGAACTCGCGCGACACTTGTGCACGGTCTCTCACCCAGCGATGTTAAAGCGTATAAACATTCTAGTGTATACACTAAGAGGGCTATATCGCTCAGGGCTAAAAATCTGTAAGCAAGCATGACGAAATCTCGTGTTACAACATTATAAATGTATTTTAAATGGGAATTATATTAATGACGCCAATAAAAAGTAATCGATAAAAAATTATGTAACTTTTCAGATTTTTATTAACTATTATATTTTCTGCAATATTTTTGTTCTTTCCAAAAAGAAAAACAGAATTGTCAAAGTTGAAAAACATATTTAAAATTGACATTTGGCTTATGGTTTATAGAATATTCCATGAAACAAGAGTAAAGTGTTAATTTAATATAATATTTGTCTTAATAATATAAATTATTTATATTCTCGTAATACGATCGATTTTGAACGAAAAACTATCGCACAATATTGTGAGTCTCTGAAAATCAATACACTGTTGCATTACTTATATTAGTTTTTCTACACAATTTTATTATAGAAATTAAATTTCCGCAAAAAACCACGCTATTATAGCAAAAAGCTGAAAAATATACAAAAAAATCAGTGCATACCTGCATATAAGTTCATACACGTTGTCTGCCAAACCAAATGTGACGATCTCTTCGTTGATGTCCTGCTGGCTAATCTTGTTAAGCACCTCCAGGCAAGATATAACGATAAACCTGTCCTGAGACTCGATTCCCATGGCCACGCACGACAGAACGACATCCGTTATCCTCTCCCCGGCCTCCTTTAGAATAATTTCGTTCGCTATGTTCCCTAGTATATCGAAGCCGAGCTGATGTAAATTGCTCCATCTCGCTCTCACGCATAATAGGACAAATCGCAGGAAACACCGATTCCTGCCTAATATCACTGCGTTCTCCGGCGTGAAGCTGAGATTCCGCAGGATCGATGCGATCTGCAGCACACGCTGACCGTACGGATCTTGCGTACCTAACGTCCTACCAACGCAGAACAGATCCTTATCCTCCTCTTCGAATTTGATGGAATTTTGGTTTTGATCTCTCAGACTTTCGTCCGACGCAAGAAGATCCAACCGTGGGCAATCCGGAAGTATCTGAAATCACGCAAAACATCCGCGTTTGAAACCTCAAAAGCAAGACAGAAACTGATAAAACTATCCTAGAAAGTTCACACAATCGCGGACAGTGAAGCAATTGTTTAAAATTATTTTGAAAATATTAGTAGTTTAGATTCTTTCAAGGAAATTTCAAAAAGACCCAGTCTCACCCCATCGATATCAATCAGTGGCGGCGGCTCCTCGTTTTCTGTCGTCGACGCACCGACATCCTGTTGCTTGCCCTCCTTCTCCTTCTCTAAAGTCTTCCGTCTGGAGAACGTCGGCAGACTGGTGGGTGGCTTCTGCATAAAGGTCCTTTCGTTCGTGAGGTCTATCACATCTTGGGAATCGAGCACATCCGACCAGAAGGAGTTGATCGAGTAATTGCGGACGCGCGAGTACACCTCGATGAAGAGTTGCCGGGTACCGGGCGAGTCGAAGACACCGGCGTGTGCGAGGAGAATGTTCACTAGTCGGGGATACTTGTCCAGCCGTAGGGTGTGCTTGCCCTCGTTCGACAAAAGGGTGCAAACGTTGATGGCAAAGTCTTGCTCGTTTGGCAACGGCGACAGAAGCGACAGCGCGAGCTTGTCGTAATTCGAGGGCTTGTAAAGATCCGCCGAGAGTCCGTTGTAGTCTCGCAGAGATTCTGAAAGTGAAGCAAGACTAGATTTGAGTATTTTATGGCAAAGAAATATATCTCTCTTAAATTCTACAAAAAGTTGACCTCTCTCTTAAAATGCATCTGTAATTATACATAATTTTACTTAAATAAAATATATACAAGACAAATTATTTTTTAATTTTTTTTCAAATCATTGTCGGTATCCAGAATTAGATTTTAGATAGGTAACTTTAAAAAACTAAATTTGTGTGACAACGTGGAACTTATTCAATCAAGATTAACATTTGATTGGCTAGATTTGAGTATTTTATAACAAAGAAATATATCTCTCTTAAATTCTACAAAAAGTTGACCTCTCTCTTAAAATGCATCTGTAATTATACATAATTTTACTTAAATAAAATATATACAAGACCATAAATTATTTTTTAATTTTTTCTCAAATCATTGTCGGTATCCAGAATTAGATTTTAGATAGATAACTTTAGAAAATTAAATTTGTCTAACAACGTGGAACTTATTTAATCAAAATTGACATTTGATTGGCTAGATTTGAATATTTTATGACAAAGAAATATATCTCTCTTAAATTCTACAAAAAGTTGACCTCTCTCTTAAAATGCATCTGTAATTATACATAATTTTACTTAAATAAAATATATACAAGACCACAAATTATTTTTTAATTTTTTCTCAAATCATTGTCGGTATCCAGAATTAGATTTTAGATAGGTAACTTTAGAAAACTAAATTTGTGTGACAACGTGGAACTTATTCAATCAAAATTAACATTTGATTGGCTACGTTAATTGGCATCGATAACGATATCTCCGGAATGCAAAAAGATTACGTATTCGGCGGAGTGTCACCTGTATTATCTCTATCCTCGTTATGACTATGTTAATGCAATATTAACGAATGTCGCAGGTTTACCTTGGCTGTATAGATGCGAAGGTCGTGCAAACGTTTACGCATGTCGTATCTTTGCTAAAACCTTCGACATCGTTTTCAACGCGCGTATCACGTATAATAAATTCTCCGCTTATTTAAAATAATTAAAATTCGCCGCTATTATCACGGTGGCTAATTAAAATAATTAAAACGCGCCGGATTTCTCTAAATGCATCGCAAAATGTACAATCGTCGGGAAAAGTATATATTTTATATACATAAAGGTAAAAAATATGTTTTAATAGCGCTTCAATGTATTAAGACAGTATATAATTTCGTGAGACAGAATTTCCGAAAATTTCAAAGAGAAAGGCGTAAATTCACACACGGCCTTTTAGCATTTAAAATGTAACTCCCAACATGCTATACATTCTCAAGTCATTAGCATTGCAAATGTCGTTTTTACATGAATCGATAGAACTATCTTTCGCCTAGATGGGGAATCTTCTTTGGTAAAAATAAAGAAAAAAGAGGAGATAATAAAGAAGAGCGCAAAAGTGGTGGATCCCTGAAATTACACTCTTTTAACATTGAGCAAGGCGTTTGCTCGACTCGCTCTCTTTGTAAATGTTGAATGTACAAAACCAAATATATTTCTTCTTAGCGTTGCACGTGTCGGAGTGCATTTTTGCAAACGCGTTTCCGCCGATCGAAACATCTCTTTCCCTCGAACGCAACATTTCTTCGTCGCGAGAGCGAGTGCATCTCTGGCGATCGTCGACGGAATTGTCACACGGCCAATCCGACCCTGCCGCGCTTGACGACGGCTCATTGAGGCAGGTCATGGCTGGTTGATGCAACAAGAAAGCGAAGCTAGCATGATTGTGCATCGGATAGCGTTTCGAATCGAACGACGAAGTAAGCCGGCTCTTTTGCTTATCCGCATCGTTTTATCGCACACGGCGAGAGAGAGATTCAGATTTTACGTATACTAATAATACGCGAAAAAGTACAATTCTGGATCCAGCAAAATGTAATCTCTCATTTGTTTTCGGGTTTTATACTTATCATATCTACTTAAATCTTGTAAAAAAATTTCTTGAAAATTTTCTGATTTTTCAGGTGTTTTTGTTCAAAATTCCAGATAAAGAAAATATTATAAACAGGTTTTTGATGCAACTTTATAAAATAAGTTTCTTTTATTGCATGCGTTTGCTAATGCTTTTCACTCATATGAAAGAGAAACGCAAAGCTACTCAAGTTTCAAGTGCTAGATTTGCAAATGTACTGAGAAAAAATTGAATAGTTTTCGTAAAATAAACATTTATCATTTGCATAACATTTTTAATTTTTATCACTAAAAATTTCAATAAATATATTTGTATATTCAATATTTTGTTAAGATATTGAATATATGCAAACACAGAAAATTAATATATTTCTGATATATATTAATACATAATCCACAATTTGGCTTATCGGTAAATATATTTCCGACTAATTAAAATGTAAAAACAAAATTATTAAAGAAAGAATTTTTTTTTAATATTTTTTAAAAATATTCCCTGAATCTTCCAATAAAATCCCGTGGGAATTCTTCCATTTTCCCAAATACAAAAAATCCCTGAAAATTCTGGATGTCCCACGTTTTTGCAAGAAAATATTTTGTTTATTATAAAAATATAATTAAAAAATAAGCAATATATATATATATATATATATATATATATATATATATATCACAAAACTAAACATAAATTTTGAAAAAGTTCGAAAATGAATATAATCTAAATATATGTTATGTATCAATTCATAATTGGATCTAGAGCCGGGAAACATTTATTTTGTTTAAGAAATATAAAAGAGAGGCGAGGTCGATAAGAAATGATTATCGGTTATTGCTGGGATACGTGAGACGCTTATCAGAGAAGCGGCGATATTTTGAGTCGCAATATCTGGAAAAGTAGAGCCAACTAATCTAACGTTCGGTTCATCAAGCATACAATGGCTGGTTTATTCCGATTTATCTCGATAATCATCGTTTCATTAGGCACGAGCGGTTTCAACGACAAAAGACATGTTATCAGATATTAATAGAATTATATGTCTAATTAATGTATTGATTTTTTACATCGTGCACACAATTATATTTGAGTAACATCCGAGACGATTCGTAAGCTGATCGGCTTCATTCCTGATGCACCACAAGTAGGTTGTGTTCTCGGTCAAGGTCAGCTTTCTACAAGTGGCCGGCTACGTTCCGTCAATGAAAACATCGCGCTGGAACATCGCGGGATTATTATGGTAAAAGTCTAATTTTGATTTAAAAAAAAAATAGAGAAACAACAAAGTACACTTTTTTACATCTGCACATGTGTCATTTTCTAACTTTTCGAAGTAGATGAAAAAATTAACATAATATCATCTGTATCGGTTCATTTAAAAATTCCCCTTTATCTTCCATAATTTAAAATCAATTATTATTTAATCATTACTTATTAATCATCACTTATTTACGAGATCTTATGGCGAATCTCACTTTAAGATGAAAAGATCCCTTCAAGATCTTTATTCATCAAGATGATCTCTCTTTAGAAAATATAAAAAAGAATATGTTTGAATAATTGGGAGCATTTTTTTGCATCTTCCTCTCCTTGAGATTTGCACAATCGACGAGACGATGATCGATTTGTCAAACTGATAATCGTGCCTGTCATCCGGAGCAAATTAGTTTCCTTCTCCTAAGCAAAGCTTTAGCGAGGCGTATTGAGAGCTGCGAACACGAACTGAATATACGAGAGCTAAATGTACGTACGGGGCGCAACGTTATCGGGGATCGCGGTAATCTTTTCAGCCGCAAAACCGCGATCAATATCGCGTCCCAGGAGAAGTGTCGAGTTTCGTCGGAAACCGGCGAGGGGGGGGGCAGGGAGGGGGGGAACACAAACCAGCAACCGGTAACGGCGAAAGACGAAGGAAGGAGCCGCGGGGGTGGACAGAGAAAGGAACTGGATCCGAAGGAGAGTCATGGTCTCGTTAATAAAATCACGGGTCGTCAACGACGCCGCGAAGTGGCAAGTATCGATTTCAAGCCGAACACCTTGTTTCCATGGCGTAATAAAGGGAGTGCTGCTTTACGTAATGAACAAAGGAAAGTTTCTATCGCTAATAAAAATGTCGAAACTATTTTCGACCGCCGTCCCGTGCAACACATTCCAATATTATGTTTCACCAATTATCACGAATAAAGATCTTTTTTCCAGTTTTTAAATTATATAATATATATAATACATCCGCTTCGAGGGAGAGCATTGATTCTTTCTTCCGAGTTTTTACAGTTTCATAAAAAAGAAAAAAAAACGTGATATCTCATACTCTACCTATAACTGAAATTTGTAACATTTCCGCCGATAAAGCGATTGATTCGCGTTAACGGATCTATTTATACCTCGTCGTTGTGATAAAAGCAATACGCAACTGGCGTACTGTCATCGCACGACATCGTGTTTCCCCGCGTTCAATCAATCCGCTTCCACACTCGCGTCAGTATCAACAAACGCTTAACTATGATCAAATACCGATAAATAAGCAATATATACGGTATACATGTACAGGCGATACGATCGATTTTCATTCGTGACCAACGGGACAAACGTTATAATCCAAGCATTACCACTTTACTACGTTTCTGAGTAAAAAAAATGAAGAAAAAAAAAATCAAGAATCTGGAAGATATTGCGAAGAAAGGCGAGATTTGACGTTTACGAAATAAATAATTATTATGTAAATAATTATTATAATAAATAAATATTATAATAAATAATTATTATATCTAAATATCTGAATAATTTTGCGAAGAAAGGGGAGATTTGATGTTTACGAAATAAATAACAATTCCATGCGGAGCACGGGCCATTGTCTCTCTCTTGCCTTTAATCTCGTTCTTGAAAATGCGCCCGTCAAAATGGCTAAAATATAATTTTCGAGCATATAGTGGGGTGAAACGGACATCGTATGGTCCACGCGCGTTAATTGGCATTGCAGTCTGCTGACAAACGCCTCGTAACGAGATGAGCGCGCGCAGCGCGTCGATGGCACCAGTGGCACGCGGTGCCCCCCCTTGTCCTCTCTCCTCCAGACATCGTCGCGTCAATCGTCGCGTCGTTCGACCACAGGTGGATTCGACCGGAGGAGGCCAGGAATTTTTAACTTGTGCTCGTCGAATTAATTAATAATAAAAAAAAAACAATATTGATTAGCTCCTCCGTTCGAATTGTTTTTCAATTTTTATTTCACGTTAAAATATTCAAACCTCTCTTATTCCTTTCGCTTTTACCTTTTAAAAATTATTCCATGTTGTTTTGAAAAATTCATACATTTTTTATAATATCATGTATGTATAATATTACTTGTGCTGTATATGCTTTATATATTTTTTCTGTTTAGCAATTTATAATCACTGTGCGAGGGAGTCAATCACTATGACAATCATTGTAATACGTTTCATTAGAAATATATTCTGGTAGTATGATAGTATGGTATAAATATAATTTTAGGAAATGCAAATGTTTTAGAAAAATATGTATTGAAATAATACTAACAATATAAAAAAATAATATGCATTAGAAATACTTTTTAATTCTACGGCAGTACTGGCAATATTGACAATAAAATCATAATAGGAATACCAACAATACAAAAGCATTATTAACAACACAAAAGCAATACAATGGCAACGTTAGCAATGAAATGTGTTGCCAAAAATGGTAATCATTGTAAATTTTTTGAATAGTGATTGACCCTTCATTATCATGTATATTACCTTGTATGCTTTAATTTGCATGCTTTTAATTGGATTAAAAATACATTCGTATAATAATCTCCGTAAACTGTCTACATTAATCAGATATATTGAAATTTCGTAAAAATATTTATGGAATCGATGATATTGGAAGATTTAAAAAGGACGATCGGCAGTTTCCTTTTCTTCCAAATGGCCATCTCTAATCTAATACACGATACACAACACACAGGAGCCAGGGATCGCGAGCGAGCTCTCTCGTTGGAATCGTGGCGAACATCACGCAAGCGCAGCATTATACCGGGACGATCAAGAACCGACGGAACACTTATCCCCGCAAACGCTTATTGATTGTGACGCGCGCCCCGTCGTGTCTCGCTCCCGCTCTGTCAGAGTCTCCCTCTCTCCGTCAACGGCCCTCTCCCACTCACGGTGCCACGCACGTGACGAGAGTGTCAACTTGTATAGATAATTAAGACTAATTTAAAATTCAAAACTCTTCCTTCCCTTTCATTCCGTTCTCATCCGAGAACAACTTGCGCAATTTTTTGACCTCGACAGAAAATTAGAAATGTGGATTCTTCAAGAAAAATGTATATATTGCGAAAAAAAGGTGACTGTATACCAAAGGAACTGCAATGGCCATTTAATGGCCACGCTTCGCGAATGCTCGATGAACGGTTCAATGATTGTGTGTCACGCGATTCTCGACACACTCGTTCAGTAAATATGTGTATAATATATGCAACAAGAAACAGGAGAAAATTTTACGATGCATGCATACTCGATCGAGACTTCGGTATACGGTTGATCATCGCGGAGATTTTTTCTTTAGAAAAATTTTGTTTAATGTGCAAATTAATAATTAAATTGAATTTAATAATTTGTATTGTGTAAATTAATAATCAAATTGAATTTAATAATTTTTATTGTGTAAATTAATAATTAAATTGAATTTAATAATATTTTTGTCATAAAATAATTAATTTAACAACGAAAAGTGATATCGTAATACTAACTAGAAAAGAAAATAGACAAACTCGAGTAAATGGATAATTGCATTGCAATTATCGCTAACTCGAGCGAAAAGAATATATCATAAAGTAGACATTAATCACCATGTCTGGTCATAATGACTAATACCGATTTGAATCTCTCACGCATATTTCTAAGCCGATGTTTTTCAATCAAGTGTATTACGCGACATACCACGTAATGTTTCGATAATTATTCAAAATTAAAAAAAAATCTCTTTATAATAGCAAAGAGAGAAAGGTCTTCTCGGCCCTAAAAACTACAAGAGGAGTACGCAATTATTGCCCGACATATGGTTTTGCGCATAATCGCGAACGGGGGCGAGCGCGAATGATTAGGCGAACGCGATAATCGGCATCGATACGCGAAGGGGGATGAATCGGAATGGGAAATGGGGAAGGGGGGAGGGAAAGCTTCCCGCCAGGGCGCCTTTACTGACCCGGTTCCGGATGAGCGTCGCGACGAGGGGGATGGGGGGCCGAGGGGAGGGTCGGGCCGCCAGCTCGCGACTTGCGCGGAAGCTCGAGGTCGGCGCCGACTACTAAGAGGACCCCGCCAAGCAAATTAACAATCGTTACGTACACGTAGATATCGGTAAGCGTCATTTTCGCACTCCTCCCCCGCTCCTGCCCCCGCTCCGAGACTACAGACGAGCCTCGCACCCTGGGCGCTGCGCGCCCCCACATCTCGCCCTCCCCTCTCCTACTTTTCGCCCTCACCACCCCAGTCATCCGGTTACCCCAGAGCTTCTGGAGCGAGGCTGCCGCATGCGACATGCGCATGTGCGCCGGGTATAGACCCGCGCGCGTTCCGCCAGTCGACCAACGGCGGTGTATATGCGCTATGCTCCCTCTACTTAATACAGGATGTCCCGGCAAGACCATATGTCTTCTCTACCAACCAATTCTCTCGAGATTCTCCGTTTAGAATTGATCTTTTCTCAACGAAAACGTCGGGGCATTAATAATTTCCGAATTAGAAACGAGAGAAATATAATTTCAGACAAAATTTATTTCGGTGAAATTCTAATTCGAAACTCGGTCGCACGAAGATGCAAAACGATTTTAATATTCGCTGAAGGCCAGAGGAACGTCTCATCCTGAGAGATAATACCCCCGGCGTATTTGAGGCATTTCGTACGTACCTGTATGTCATGATTATCGCCCGTTAAATTGTCTCACACCCGTCGAATTTAATATTATCGTGGGGAAGGGAAATCGAAATCAGCCGAGGAATGTCTCATCGCGAAGGAATATTTCGGGCGCTCTGCACATGTGTGTGTGTGTGTATGTGTGTGTGTGTGTGTGTCATGATTATCGCCCATTAAATTATCTTACACACGCCGTTCGCATAACCCCTCCCACGCCTCCCCCCTTCCTCCCTCTCGTGCGCACGAATGCACTCGCGGATCCCAGCCGGGCCACCGCCGACTCGCATGTGCGCACCGCTAACGCTATCTATCTCCCTATATCCCTCTCCGGCTCGATAGCCCGCCACCGCTGCTGCTCTTGGAGCAGCAGCACGTCAATAACCCGTTGCCGCCTTGGCCGCGGCTACGGTTACGTATGTAACCGCGCGCGTACGTCTACGTCTCCCGCGAAGACAGGCGCAGACTTACGATGCCGAGTCTCCTTCGCAGAGTCGCGCCGGGGGTGCCCTAATTTAATTATCTTCATGCAAATGTCACGAGCGTTGACCGACCCCCTCCCCCCCCGCACTTCCCCCTTCCCACTAATTCTCGTGTCTATAAATATTGAGAATGTATCGGGTGGTAATCGAATGATTATCGCAATACGACGCTCCTCCCTTCGTTCTAGACCATTTCCGCTTTATACCGCAAATGCACATGCGATCGTGAAAAATTCAGATGTTCCTCGTGATAGATGAAAATGGACTTGAGAGGAAATATTGCGTAGATTCTTGCAGAAGGATCGAAACCCCGCGCGATATTTTCGCGCGGCGTTGCCGGGGAACGACACGGAACGAGCGAGTGAAAAATTCTGACAGGCGGAAATTGCTAACGTAGCGAATTATTGAACCGTGACTCGCACATACAAACAGAGAAAAAGATAGAAAGAGAGAGAGGGAGCGAAATGGGGAAAGCGTTGCGTGCGCGCGACGCGACGATCAAGTGCGACAAGGAGCGAAACAATGGGCGGTGGAAAACGCGCATTTGAAAGTCGTTCGACCGTGGATACGTACATGCGAACTGTATCGCGACACACGCACCGCGTATAAATTGGCAAAAGCGATTTATGCGTGCGACTGCATTCGGTGCACCCGCCACAAGCACGCGAAATGCAACGAAATAACAATGTATTATCTAACAATATATTGTTTTTTTTCTTTTTTCGCGTCTTCCAATTTGCTATCGAGGTCGAGTCTTTGACGTAAAATTTCACGACTCACCTGCGATGTTGTGCTGATGATGATTATAAGTTAGAGGAACAGAGTGCAGTGCTCTGGCTGACCACTTCCGGTGTCTGGAATCCTCGTCATCGTCGTCAGCCTGTTGACCATCCTCGCCTAGGAAGTGGACCTTTTCGTACCTATCCAGATACCTGGAACGCAAACATCGAGTTCTTTAATATTTTAGAAAATTTATTTTCAATTCGAGTGAGACTTCACATATCATAGTTGAAGGGGCATTAATAGATTATAAAAATATCACATGATTGGAACAATCATGAAAACAACGTGCTACATTAGAAACTCCAATTTAGATCTTAAATGCATTTCGTTGCAGAATTGATTTTCTTATCTTTTTTGGGACAACTGTCTTTCTGTCAAATAACATGCATTATCATTTTCCATAAAAAGTTCGAAAAATTTAATTTTTAAAATCTAAAAATTGTTTCGAAAAAAAGAATGCATTTATCGATTATTCTTATTATTAAAATAATTTATTAAGTCCAATATTGCAATGAAATAGCAAGATTTGGACAGAACAATATCAAACGTCAGAGATATTATATTACAAGCGATAAAAAGTAAATATAGATGGTTCCAACAGTGGAACCACTTGAGTTTTGCAGGCTCAACTACGCGGTAGCTCTTCTAATTCAGAATCGATTGACGTTTCTGGAGAACCGGTTGACCCTCGACATCACCCACGTGGCGCATGGTTCTATCTTGAGAGCGCAATATATATCGCGGCATTCTACTATCGGAGCAAAAGTATACGAAAGAACTCTCCCTCCAGGGCAACCAAGACATCGATCGACTGACCGATCGTCGCAAGATCGACGAACTCGCGCGATGTTCGCGTCAACAGGGTAGGTGCCAGAGATAAAAAGAGAGAGAGAGAGAGAAGAGAGAAGAGGGACAGTCATGAGACCTCGCTCGACGAGGAGGAGAGAAAGAGAGAGAGAGGATATCGAGTCGTGGGTGGGCGAAAGAAAATGGTGGGGGTAGGTGTACTGGATCCATTCATGCAACCAACGTACAGCGCGGAAGGTGCAAGCAGCCAGAGCCTGATTGGCCGTTGGCGGATGCGGACTGCTGAATACTACTACTCTCTGACTACTGAAGCAGCAACGTGCTATCGCACGCGGCATGTGTGCTACACTGTGTTAGTACGCATTATTGACTGCTAGCGCGAAGTAGTCAGACCGCCACGGCTGAAGCCACGTGACGTCCACGGAAGTGTCTTGGAAGGGCGATGCGACTCTTCGGTGATTCATATAGATTGCACAAGAGACGCTGATTCTAATTAATACAAATCTTCCTTTATCACGTGTATCATCGATTGCACGATTGTAATCCAGAAAATGTATCGAAATAGGATTATTTAATTCAGTTGATGATACAAAAGAAACATTGAATCTTTCGAATAATACAAGGATACGTTGATATGAGATGCAAGAATATAAACAGATCAAGTCTAATGTGTTTGTAATAAATGGTAATTATTACATAGTATAATTAATGGTAATTATAAAATGATATATCTGATGTATGATCAATATAAGTGATAACAAGACTTGATAACAAAAATTTGCATATTGTATAAGTAGTTATGAAACACTGAAATCTATGAGAGAATCGATCAGAATAATGAGCTTCTACTTTAGCGCAAAGAACGGGCACTTCTGACAGTTCTCTTATAATTTGCAACACAATTTTGATATGAAATGTCACACACGTGACATCGGTAAGAGAACCGTGTGGACTCGGTGACGCTTGTCACGCGCGCTAACAAGATTACAGGACTCGCTCCGAAAAGAGAAAAAGAGAATGGGAGAAAGAGAGAGAGAGAGAGCGAGAGAGGGAGAGGAAAGCGAGACTCAGGAACCACGTGGTAGCTCTCGTCAGCGAGACTGGGACATGAATGAACGAACGTACGTAGTACGCGATACGGAAAATGGTGGTGGGGCGTAGGGACCAATGCCGATACGCGGTGTTGGCCGTGCGGCAAAACGTTGCTACTCCCTGCCTCTTGCAGACGCTCGCGGACTGCCAGACGCAATGGAACATTGTAGCAAGCGCGACGCGACGCGATGTGACGCGATGTAGCGAGAAGTCGCCGTGCGATAAAGGCCGGATCGGACGAGTCGTCTTCCTATTTCGTGGAGCAGACCAACAGCTACCGGTCGGTTGAACTCCTAATGGATCACTCAGAGGATCAAGGACCAAGGGACACATTGAGCGGGCCTTGTCCTGAAATTACTCCAATTTGTCCATAACGATGCAGATGTGTTTTATAAAAAAAATTGTGTTCGCAAAAAAAAAAAAAATACACTCGACAGATAAATAAAATTTGACGAGGAGAAGTTTTTTGATGGGCTTGCGTGATATTGAATAGCCTTGATTTCTCGAGGAGTTGAGGTAAATGATACTTACCGTAGGTAAATTTGTTTAAGGCCGACCCCGCTGTTGATGCAACCGCCGGGCAAGTGAAATTGTTCGCACAACGATGCCCATTCATTTCTAGTATTGACCTGCAATAAATAAAAAAAGCTGGTATGAGAATCATTCGCAAACAAAAATAGTTGCTCGAGAATAATTGATCCGAGAATCTTTAAAATTAATCGTATTAAATAAAATTGTAGACACAAGCAATAGCTCAGCATGTGTTACTCGATTCTTCAACATTTCTCCGTTATTTTAACTAAACTCAAACCCAGCGCACTTTGAAATCGAAGATAATAAATAATTCAAGCAAATCCACGTATATACATTTCTGTCATCAACGAATAATATTACAATAATAACGCATAAATTATTTAACATATGCAGCAGATTATTAATGTACAAGCATCAAATGGTATAATATGCGATTGATAAATATTAATTGAACACATCACAATGATATTTCAATCAATCTATTTCTGTGTATATACATATATGTATGTGTATATATATATATATATATATATATATATATCATATATACTATACACACACATACATACATATACAGGGTGTTCATTTCAAAACTTTCCACCCGTTTATTTTATGATTGATTAGTTTTTTGTGAAAAATGCCAACAGACGTCAATTTTGTTTTCGAGGGGGCTACCCCGAGGGGATGAAAAAATTTCATTGCATTTAATATGCTTAAATCTCGAAATAAAATTGACATTTTTTGGCATTTTCCGCAAAAAAAATCAATCCTGAAACAAACGGGTGGAAAGTTTTAAAATAAACATCCTGTATATTAGCGACCTTTCATTAATGATTAAAAAATTAAAAAATATCGACAATCTTACTCGCTGATATTACGCAAATCGATTATTAATTAAGACACGATAATCGCGAAGATTAATTATTCACACTGACGTACAAACTTTAATTATTCATAGAAAATTGCGATTATATCTCGAGAAATGTTATAATATAACGATACCGAGAGCCGTACGCGCTGCAACCTTCTCGTTTTCTCTCGAATGTCGACGCACGAATGATAACAAAACGATCACAAAACAATAGCTACCTATCCTCTCACTTATATGCCGTTCAAAACAAAGGTCAAAATCCGTATAAAGTTGTTATTGTCACATACTATATTTAACATAATACGAGATATATTACGTAGAATGTTCTATTCTTTGTATTTTAACTTAATTGACGTAAAATGTGTATTTAATAAAAGCTAATATATATATATATATATATATATATATATATATAATTGCTAAAAAATTCAACATAATTAAAAATATATATTGTTAAAATTAAAAAAAAATATATATATAATAATTTTTAACAATATATATTTTTAATTATGTTAAAATTTTTTCACGATTCCATTTCTCGGTTGATCTTTCTCTCTCTCTCTCTTTGCACAATATTTAAAAAAAATAAAAGTTCGATATATAAGCCATCAAACAAATACTCTGCTATTTCTTTCGTCAGAAACAGATACAATTGTCCTTTAAAGATTCCTTGTAAAATTCTCTCGATGGTATGCGAGATAAACTGCAGTGAGATATAAATTTCTATGCGGCTGACTGAAAAATAAACAACGCGCTATGCGAAGAAAATCCATACACGAATACAGCGAAATGTGCTCTGAAAAATCCGAGATTTTAATTTTATAATAAATTCTCTTTGTATTCAATTTGCAAACAATTTTCAACTTGAATATTTTAATTTTTGTAGTTTAAATATTCGAGACATTTTTAATTTTGTAAACCACAAACAAGGATCGTTTCTAAACTTTTCTAAGAAAAAAAAATTGCTAACAATTCCTGAAAGAATCTGTTATTAAAAAATCGAGGGAAAAAGATCTCCAAAGTACTCTGGGATAATCAACGGCATTGCCTTTGATCATCGTGTTACATTCATCGAAGCGAAATGCGAGTTTGCGATTAAACCAAGATCTACATTCCGCGATGGAAATAAATGTTTATTGCGTTTGCGTTTATTTCGGTAAGTTACGTGTGCGAGAGGAATCCGCGCGTTCCCACTTTATTATACAACGCACACTACGATCATAGATATATCTGTTTCAAATAAATCTCCAGATAATCATGCATATTTTTATTCCTGAATTAAAATTTAAGATAAATGATTCCCACTCATCCTGGATGCAGGGTGTAAATAATGCGTTTCTTTATTCAATGCATTATACGAAATCATAAATATAAGAACGATAAAAATTAATCGATGTGATATCTCTGTAATATCTTTTTTTCTCGATATCTTTGACGAAGCGAGAACGAGCGTTTGTTCGAAATTAAATCAAAGAAACACGCCTAAAAATTATCAATATAAATATCTGAAAATAAGAATTTTACTTTTATATTTCTGTTCCCACGACGATCAAATATCGGAACCGTCTCCGCGCAGACCTGGCACGTGGTTCCACATGTGACACGTGGCCACGCGACGTAAAATCATCGGCGGCAGTCCTGCGCTCTCAAAGTGCGCTCTCAGCGGTGACAACGGGCAGACGGAGTAGGAGGAGGAGGAGGAGGAAGAGGAAGACACAGCTGGGGGCAGGGAGTCGTCGTTAGTAAAATCAGCGACGACCGAACATACTGGGTCAGTGCTCCCTGGATCGGCGCCCGTGTCTTTGCTCTATTCTGGTCACCATCGTCGTCGTCGTCGTCGTCGTCGTCACCGTCGTCGCGACGTGATGAATCGGGAACGTGGCGCCGCATCGTGGACGACCGCAAGCGTCTGGTCGAGCTTGTTGCTCGGTAACCGAGTAATAATAGTTGATGAGAGACGGGGCGCGACGCGTATTTTAAGAACGCGGATGCAAAATGTCGATAATTTGGCATCGATACGACATATTAAATTTATATTAGCGGTAATATTTTACATCCGAGACGTCGACACGAATGGCGAACATCTGTTTTCACGCTTTAATATTCGTGAAATTTTCGTCAATTTTTTTCAACATTTTTTAGACGGACGCTACATTATGTAAACTTGAAACTTATATAATATCAAACGGCTATCAAAGTACAATCGGATAGGGTAATAACGTCCGGTACGTTTGCATTTATCTCGATTTCCTCTGCAATACTTGGGAAGCGTATCTCTTCATTTACATAAGTAATTGTACGGTACAATTGTTTGAAGAATGGGAGGAATCGGTGACTCATGAAGTGTCCTTTTACAAGCGAGTTACATCCTTACGTATGCGAGATATCATTTAAAGCATCCTCACGCCACTTGTTTGCGAGGCTTCTGAAAAAAGATGTATAATTCTAATTTGACCCTCGCACGCTAAAACGGAGTCATTTCTATTCCCCCATTGCCATTAGACTTTTAAAGGAGTCGGTCCCAACGTCGTGATTTCATTAACTACACGAAACAATGCGTGTAAAACGACTCATTCTCGTGCGAAGCGTTCGTATCTGACGGTATTAATACGGCCAATTGGACTTGCTTATTCGATCGCGTGCCGATTTCGCATCGAAATATCGAGCCTGCGCGGCTGGAAGAGAGCCGCGCGTATCGGAAACGGCGCGTCGTTTCCCGCCCAAGTTTCGATCCAACGAATAAGCGCGATTAGGTCGGTATCATCGTTGTCGCCACGAGGTTGTAATCGCGCGACTTTGCTCGACCTTGATGCAGCAATACGAACGGAGCGGCGCATGCGCGGCGCGGGCATGTTCCTCGGGAGCGTCGAACGACGGTATCCACCACGTGGTTCGGCGGGTTCCGAAGCACGATGCATGATGAAAGTGTCTTCGGCGCCACGTGGTCGTTGGGGTAGGACATGGTCCCTTCTCTCCCCTCCCTCTCTCTCACTCTCTTTCCCTCCTTGTCCCGCGCTCGCTCTCTCCCACCCCCTCCTCTCTCGCGGCTCGCTCTCTCTCTCCCCCCACTCCTTTTCCCTCGACACACGCTGCCGCAACGCTGCGCCTATGACTCTCCCGCGTCTTCCGCTTCTTCTTCTAGCGCGCACCTACAGTAGGGTACGAGACACGCGGGGGACTGCAACCGTTCGCCATCGGTGTCGTCACTTGGGTGACTTCGATCCTCGATACGCCCCCGTAGGAGCGTTCTCTGCACCGTCGTCTAAATCCAACTCGCCCACGTCGTGGTATCGTTTGCTTCTCCGATTTCGCGAACGTAAGAAGATACTCACGTTTCCCGGGGGTAGGGTCTCACGGGGAAATTAATCTCGGGGATCGGCAAAGTATCGGGCGTGATTAAATTCAGGGAGGGACGAACTATATAATCTCGGAGGAATCGACCCTCGGAGCGTCTCGTCGCTCCGACTTGCTCGAGTAATTCATCATCGTGCCATTAAGCTACGAAGGATGGAATTAACCGCGATACTCTCTCTCTCTCTCCGCATCTCTGTTTCTCTCTTTCTAGCTTACGCAAGGAGACGTATCTCTCGCTCTAGGCAAGATTTATACGACGGTTCACCTCGGTCGTCGCGAACCACGCGCGTTAATATATGCGGCGATCGTTTATGCATAAACACGACACGACGCGACACAATCCATCGCTTTCCACGTGACGTTTGAACAGCGGGCGGTGTCATTAGAATTCCGAACGGCGTCGTTTCTCTTCGAGCGACGATGACGGTGATACCAATCGCGATATTTCACCGTGGGACCGCGTGCTGCTTGCGATACATGATTACGTACACACTTGAAATAAATTCCCTTGGGGCGGATTGTAGAGAGAATCGTGCGATATCGTTATTCGATATATATCGGTGAGAACGAAGGAACAATAGACCGATTATCGCCATCGGATGTTAAACTCGCAGAATTTTAATCGTACGATAAAATCTCGCGATTCGAGAGACATTATATTCCTCATGAAGGGAATTAATCTTATTATATGTGTAACGCGCGACAGATACGATATAAATTATTATTGTTTGATATTAAATGTAAAAATGTATTAATCTGCAAACATTTTTATTCTAGAGAAAATAGAATCAACGATGAATACTATTATTTCCATTCTCTCTTTCTCTCTCTCTTTCTAAGGACATAAAGGAACAGAATCGACGCAAATAG